GAGAGGGACGCATGCCTGTATGGACCTCTGATCAGGACGGAGAAGGCTGAAATGTGGAGGGAGGTGGGTAAAATATGTTCCAGATCTTTTTCTTTTTATTTCCCCCCGTGTCCATGGGAGGAGGGGAAAAGGGACCCACTCTAGGCTATCAATCAATACCAGCACCCCAAGGATGGAGGCAGTCATCTGATGTCACCTCGGGAACCCCAAGGTGAGAAAGAATGTCCCGAGGGCGCTGCTTGAATGGTCTTGAAAGTTTTGAGACATTGTCAGCTTTGTTGCACCAGATTGAGAAAATCTTTCTAAGGTCTGTTGGCTGACCAGGTCCACCCCAGTATACCCATGACCCAGACGTTCATTGCAAGGTGTGGGCAGGAGAGCTGTCCAACCTGTTCTGCTTTCTTCCTTTGGGCGAGGTACTTGACGTCCTCTGCTGGCTCAGATGAGCCGGATGACAAGTCTTTAATCTGCATCTGGGTATGTTCTGCACTGCACAGCATCAGCAAATGAAGAGGCCCAGTCCTGACACCGTGCTCCATGAACAGACCACACATCTTGTGATTTTCTCTGAGGCTGGGGTAGAATCTGGTATTCTGGTTGGGGGTTCCCCTACAAAACCTCACTTGGGGAGTCCTCAGAATGACTCCTGTGTGCACCAGCTAGTGCAGGGTGAGAGTCAGTCCCACCCCCACACCAGCCAGCACACACACTGTTTCCACCACTCCTGTAGGGTCACTCCACCCAGCTCACCATGAGTGAACCCTGTGTACAGCTGGCACGATCGAGGGAAACTGGATAAGGAAGATCAGAGCCTCTCCTCTCTCTTGGGATCCTCGTCCCAGCTCAGCGACTCAGTCTCGCACTCACTGCCTTAATCGGGTGTCTGCCTTGCGGTCTCCTGATGTCTTCACCTGGAGCACCTCCCGTTCCTTACCCAGTTCCTTCATGAAACCTAGTATTCTCTGAGACAAACTCACTGTGACTTCTGTTTTTTCGAGCTATGTCTGCTTCTTCTGCTCTCACACACGCTGCCTTGCTTTGTCATGATTATCATTATCTTAATTTACTGCCATATACCTGGCATTTAAAACCGGTCTGGGCACATCACAGGTGCTCAAGACACTTTTTTCTTTAGTTGAATGTCAAAAGGTCTGTCTTCTAGGATTGCAAGATGTATTATTTATATAATTTTTGAGTCAGGCACCCTCAAACACCGTCGTTACCATCCCCACTCTGAGCGGAAGCTAAGCATTCACTCCTCGGACTCCCCGAGATGCACACAGCTCGCCTGTGCTGGGGTGGCAATCAAGCTTGCACGTGTGCTGGGTCCCAGTGCCCCACCCCGCCCCAGAGAGCAGAGCGTGGACAAGCGATCAGATCAAAGGGCCCAGAGATCACGTCCAAACCCCTGGCGTCACCCGTCGCCAGGAAAGCTGTGTCATACAAGTTTGCAAGTTGAGAACTTGAACTTTTAGGAAGCCTGTTTCTCAGCCTCTCGCTGGCGCTTCAGGAGGGCATGGAGGCATAACGTAAGCCATAGTGCCAGAAGTAAGCCCGTTCTGACCTTGATTCATTTATTTTTATTGGGAAGGCAGATCAGATTCACAGGGAGAAGGAGAGAGAAAGATCTTCCATCCACTGGTTCACTCCCCACACTGCTGCCACAGCCAGAGCTGGGCCAGTCTAAAGCCATGGGACAGCAGCTTCTTCCAGGTCACCCACATGGGTTCAGGGGGCCCAAGGACTTACGTCATCCCCTGCTGCTTCCCCAGACCATAAACAGGGAGTAGGACTGGAAATGGAACAGCCAGGACGCAATCCAGCATCTCTACAGGATGTTGGTGCTGGAGACACAGGCTTAGTCTACTCCGTTACAGTGCCAGCCTCAGAAATTATTTATTCAGTAGACTGACCCAGAAAAAAGCTCTGAGCTGGGTTAAATACAGTTGATTTGCCATGAGGAGTGAAGAGTTAGAATTGAGCAAAACTTTGTCCCAGTGAGACCTCTAAGAAAGGTGGAACAACAGTCATCTGATGACAATAGTGGTACCGTGGACCTAAAGATGTAATTTTTGTAGCATATATAACATGGAACTAAGTATAATAGCCAGTTATTTCTTGTAGAACTTCTTTAGGCCGAGGTATTTTTTAACACATGTAAAAGGCATTTTTTTTTTTTTTTTTTAGCAAATGGTAATTCTTTTTCTTTCTTTATTTTCACTTTTTTGGAAAGGAGCAGGGACCCCATGTATGGGCTGGCTCCCCAGATGCCAAATTAGGGAACTGGGAAGTTCAGTGCGGGTCTCCCAAATGGGGGGAGGAGGGCTGCGGGTGATCCAGTCATTGGCTGCTGGCTCCCAAAGGCTCCCTACTCCCTCACCTCCCACAGATCCTTTTTCCCTATAACTATTCACGCATTGTCATGGATCAAAGACACCTCATGACCTGAAGAATTAGTTCCCCACCCCTTAGACTCATGCTGTCTGACACTGCTCGGAGCAACACCACCTTTAACAACAGGCTTAGTAGAAGAACCCCACCTTTAGCTGGGCATGCCCGTGTGAAGGCAAGATTGCATCCAAGTGCTGGCTGATGCAGAGCTCAGAAAGCCTGGCTCCTGTGCCCAGCGCGGACAACTCCCGAAGGCCAGCCCACCTTCGGAGCTCCGAGCAGGGTCTTCTGAGGCCTCACAGCTCAACTTCTCCTTTGGCTTCTTTCTCTTCCCGCTCCCGGTCCTGACCCTGAGCACACTGCCTAACCAACTACCTACCCGGCCATCTCCAGCTCAGACCCCCAAAACCCATCCTGGTCCTCGTAAGGAACTTTTTAACACTGCATTCGTTAGCAGCAGAACATAGACATGTAAAGAAAGAACTGCAAAGGAACACAGGAGGTTCAGCAGGTGAGGAGCCGTCATCACGCAAGACGACAACCACCCTCCATCCTCACATGCAAAGGTCTCACAGGTTCAAAGTTCTGGAGGCCACAGACAATTCTAAAATGGGTTTCATCTGAGTTGAGCATCTTTTGGACTCAATTTCCTGGTGTTCAAGCTTTTTTCCCCATTTAAGATGTATTTATTTATCAGAAAAGAAGAATTACAGAGAGAAGAAGGGAAAGAGATCTTCCATCCACTGGTTTGCTCCTTAAATGGTAACAATGACTGGAGCTGAGCCAGGCTGAAGCCAGGAGCCTGGGACTCCATTCAGGTCTCCAGTGGGCTGCAAGCATCTAAGAACTTGAGCCATCTTCTTCTGCCTTCCCTAGTGCATTGGCAGGGAGCTGGATCAGAAACGGCCGAGCCAGGACTCAAATGGAAGTGGTGCTCCAAACTGGGCTACCTGTCAGGCACGTAGTGATTTAACCCGCTGTGTCACCACGCCAGCTCCCAGTGTTCAGGCTTTTCAGACTTTGCATTTTGGGGCTTGAATCCTTCTCCTCCCTTCTATAACGTGATGATCAAGCAAAGCTTAGGATAATAACTGAGCTAGGAGAAAAACTTGTCCACTGAATTAAAATCAAATTATATTTGGGTAGAGACATGTTCAATTCAAGCAGCCTTTCTGTGGTTTTCCCTCAAGAGAATGGTTGCTGGTGGCAGTGGTGTCACTTAGAGACCCAAAGGAGTCCAGGAGAGGCTCTACAGAGTGTAGAGTCCAGGCCAGAAAGAGAGTTAAAACCACCCAGCACAGCCTGGCAAAGGTAGGATAGAAAACCAGTGTCAAAGTCAGATGGGTCTAAAGATAAAGCTAAAATAGCTCCAAGCCCACAGGTTAAACAAGGCAGGAGAGAGGAGAAGAAGGAGGCAGGCTGAAACGACAGAAAATGAGGACAGTGAGCAGAACCAGGTACAGCACAGGAACGTGCTGAAGAGCCACGCTCATGAGATGCATGAAGGAGCGTCCTTCCACAGGTCACCTGTATGCTCAGCAGGAGTTAGTCTGGCAACTTCATCTCTATGCTGGACCAGGCAACTCCTTGCAACCCTCTCCTCCAAGCCTCACCTATTACAAATGACCATAGGTATTTGCAGGTGGAGGATGGAATGACAACAAGAAGGTCACGGGTCTCTTCCATGTCTAATCCCAACCGCACTGCTCTCAGAGCCTGGCTCACACTTCCCCATACCGACGGCGGCTCTGGCTCCCCCACACAGCACATCGCACGCCTGATGACTACAGAGCTGCACTGCCTTCCTTTTTCCTGGGAAGTGCAACATGCCAGAGAACGGGTTATGCAAACACCGTAGCTCTGCTGCTGGGAAGAGAGCATCCCAGGCCGCTCTGCCTCTGGTTTTCAGAATCTTCATCAGCACTGTGTTGGCCTCTGGTGGGACTGGTGGAATGGGCAACAGAGGAAAGCTGAGAGTCCCATCTCCGGGGTGACTCACCCGGAAGGTAAACTGACAGTCAGCGTTGATGACTGCTACGATAGAGTCGTCTGTGTATTTGTTTGTTCTTTTACTGTGTCATCTTCAGAAAGTGACTTCTAATTGTGAGATGCCAGCACTGATCTCCAAAGGTGTTAAGGAGTAACTCAAAATACTCAGAATCAACTCGCTCTTGGTTTTCATCATGTTAGAAAAGCCTCCATAGGCTACAGGACGCCACCTTCGGCCTGGGAACAGACCCAAAACATGTTGGGACAGGCAGCTGCCTCTGTATTTGTCTTGCTACAAATCTGGATTCCCCTGAAGATTTCCCAAGTGACAGCCACGGAGCCAAATGAGGATTCATCCCTATCCAGTAACCCAAAGGAAAGATGCAGGTGAACTGGAAAAAGGCACAACATGCTCTGTGACCTTGAGCAAGAGCCGTCCTGTCTCAGCGCCTCCGTGTCCCAAGCGAAGGAAATTGTGACCTCTGAACACCCAGCTCAAAAATGACTTGCCTTGCTCAACAGGGGCCCACGCTTCCGGGAAATTTTACTATTCATGAGGCTGGCCCCGCCCTGCTTTCCAAAGCCTTGATTAAATAGCTTCTTCTGGCCAGGAGTTTGCAGCGGCGAGCAGCACCTGCGAGCACCTGCGAGCACCTGCGAGGAGCACGCGGCTCTCCAGGATGAGCGCCCCGCAGCTTTTGCTCCCTGCCAGGGCGGCCGGCGCGAGCCTGGGCTGCTTGCTCCTGCTTTGCCTCTGTCTAGAGCTAGGCGCGCTGGCCAAGGAACTGAAGTTTGTGACAGTGGTGAGTACGCCTCTTGCGATCTCTCTCTTTCTCTCTCTCTCTCTCTTTCTCTCTCTGCCTTCACACCAGGTTCCCTGCAGAGTCTGAAAGCCAAGTGTCAGGTTTCATTGTACTCTTGGGTTGAAATCAAGTTCTGTTCAAACTCACAGAGTAAATAGTCACGTTTCCCAAATTCCTCTTGTGAAGTCCTAATGTGCCCTGCGAAAAAGCGTGCAAGTTTGTTTTTTACATTTTATCCATTTTTCAGCTTTGGCTGTTCTCCTTTATTTCCAACCTTACTCCACAGCTGCCTTGGATTCACTCTGCTGCTGCTGCCCACACCAGCGCCAGAGGGCTGTTTAGACAGCTGAGGTTAACCTGGATTGATTGAGCTTCGTGATTATTTGTTTGGCAAACCACAGGAAAAGGGGGGGAAAAAAAAGGAAAGCGCGGTGGTTTTCAAAGTGAAGTAGGTCCTTCTCAGGCTGTTTATCAGGAAACTGGGACATTTGCAAGCAGCTTTTAAAGTGTAAAAGTGAAACAAAACTCTTCCTGGTACGCGGACTTAGTCATTATTAAAGTAATCATCTGGCCACCTGTGCGCTGTAGAGCAGGTCGCGAGAACAGAGAGCGAATGCATTGATATGGGGTGAGAAAACGACCCCGATTCCACGACGGAGGCGAGGTGCAGTGAAGTGGAGATTCGTTGCCCTGTGCCTCTCTCCTTCTGAATCAAAGATGGACTCCAGTAAAACTGTCACACACATCTTGACCGTGGAATGCTGGACTTTTCTGCCATTGTTTGTGTCCACAATGTCAGGACACACTTCAGTAGAAGAACGATGGCCTTGTGACTGTTGTTGCAGAGCTTTGTAATAATATAGGGGGGAGCGATGGGGGGAGGGAGCGGGGGAGGGTGGAAGGGGAAGTTCTTGAGGCCGAGGACCATACCATGAGCACCCGCTGGTACTCTGAGAACAGAAGAAGCCAGGGTTTGCACAGTCAGGGGTTTGCCCCAGCACTTCGGAGTCTCTGGTCTCTATTGAGGTTTGTCTAAGTCTCCTCTTTCACACACTCCCCTTCTCTCTCTCCTCCCCCCATGTCTTATTGGATAAGATGGATGTAGGCTGATTGACAGTAAATATGCCTTTTGTAAAAATATTCAATTTTTTTTTTATCACTTGGAGGAAGGACATCTTGTACTCCAAAATTCAGATTCCTGCAGAAAATCTGACGATGGTGTGTTTACACCAAAAATGATTCTTAGTCCTGTTCGTTTTTATCCGGTCAACAGTAACAGAAGAGGGAGAGCATCAGTTTATTTACAGATGCTGTGCCAGTTGTCAGGCTCGTGGGCTGACAGCATCACGTGACTTCTGTAGGCCAGGCACACAGGAAAAACTTCTGCCTGTGTTCAAGGTGTGTTGCAAAGTGCCGGGTGCCTGGAAATCCTGCCTTGGTGCACCGAATCTGGCAGCGGGGACCTGGCCGCAGGTGGGCCTCTCTGAGACGTGCGAGGAGGTTGTCTACAGCTGCCAGATTCGCTCTGTCCTTTCCTACCCACAGCCCAGACTAACCTCCTTCCCTGCCAGACTGTGAATTTCTCTACTCTTCCCCACCTTGATTAATGCTCAGCCGAGGATCATGAGTTAATCCCAAGGAAAGCCAAAATACAAAAGTGGAAAATTCACAAATGACACCCGAGGCTAACAACTCCATTTCCTGCCATGGCTTTTCCTCACTCGTGCTAGATGACAACTCGGTGCATCTCTCTTGACCTTCTCAACATAACTCTAATGACTTAAACTAGAAGGATGCACTTTGTTCTTTTTTGTTGATTTAAAAAATATATATATATGTGACTAGAAGTGATCACATTACACGCTTTTTCAAATCTCCAGAAACTTATTAGGGGAATCAAAATGATTACCACTCAGTTCAGTGGCAATGCTGAAGACGAGGCTGCATTCAACGTCAGACATTGCCACACACTGTCAGGACGTATTCCTTCACCATCCTGTAGGACTCGGGAGGACCGGTGGGATTTGAATTGCAGATGGACAATGAGTGCTTTGTGTAGTGTGTGCATGTACATAGCACAGCCCATGTAAGATGCAACCATCCCATGTCTGCTCGCTGCATTCGGCAACTATTCCCTGAGGGTGGCAAACCTTTCTTCCGTATTTTCTAGATGAAGACACTGAGGCACAGGGCTGGTTCGGTAGTGTGCCCATGAGCAGACAACGGCAGTAGTGGACAAAATCGAGTGTCCTTCATCACTGGAGGGCCGCCTGCTCCCTCTGTTGTGTGTAGAATGTAGCAGGTGGGACCTGTGGCCCCACTGTGCGCATTGCCATGTGAGTTAGCCTGACTCTGAATCAGTAGGTAGTTTCCTGGATTTTTATTGTCCAAGAAAAAAAAAAAATCTTACCCCATTCTGAAAAGGTGTTCTTGGCGGAAAGAACGGGAAACTGTCCCAGAATCTTACTCTCCTTACCCTCTCCTGAACACAGAATCACTTGACCCTTTGAAACAGAGTCTGATGACTCGCTAGCAGGGATTGCATGGGGAAGACGGTGCCTGCAAGGTCGCCAGCTCCGAGAAGCGGGTATGGGTTAACCTGTGTTCCTGTAGCACTCCTCAGCCTTCCGTGGCTCATTTGCACTGTTCCCCGTCTCCACCTCAGTTGCTGAATTCCAGTGCACCCACCAGCCAGCTCATGGGAAACCTTGCTCATCTGTGTTCCCACTCATTTCCCACACATACCTACTTGGCTTTTTGGAAATCACCTCAGCCATCACACGGCACCCTCCAGAATTAGGAAAATGTCATTTCAGAACATGCGCTCCTCTGGACCAGGGGAAACCCACAGTTGAGGTGAGCTCAGCCAGAACAATTCCATCTCATTCCACTGGGGCTGTACGAAGAAAGGGGTGATGAGTCAAGAGGCGCGCGCTTTTTCCTCACTCTTACTCCAGGCTTGCAGTCCGATTCTGTTGTTAATTTTGTGATGCTCTTTTCTGGAAGAGAAGTGGAAGGCTGCGCTAGGAAAATGTTGAACTTTCCTTTTGGCCAGGATTAGGATCCTAAACAGGTCACCCAATCCAGCGTCAGATCTTCCAGATGTACTTGTCTGGGATAGGGGGAACTACATGCCTCCCGCCTCACGGAGCTGTGTTTAGGATCAAAGGATATGGTGCTCACCAGGAAGTGAGAACCACAATACAAGTGAGGTGCAGCTCCTGGGAGCCATTTGTCAAAAATGGAATACTTCCAACCTTTTGGATAAAATATAAATAAGCCTTAATTATTCTTTAATTGTGGCGAGGTATGCATGACGTGAAACCACTGTCTTCACCATTTTTAAGTACGTCGGCCTTGTCGGGCAACTTCACCACCATCCACCTCCAGAATGCTCCTTGCAAAACTGAAACTCCACACCCATTCAACAACAGCTGCCCGTTCTCCTGCAGCTGCCCCTGCCCACAGATCCTGGGAATGACCGTTCTGCTGTTGTCTCTGAACTTGGCCACCCTAGGACGTCACAGAAATGGAATGATGTGGTCCTTCTGTGGCTGGCTTGGTTCACTTAGCTGCCTCCTCATTATTCTTGAGCTTGTGGATTTAATGTATATAGAAAAAGAAAAAGTATTAGACAAGTGTCATCTCTATTAAATCTCAGACTCCTTAGCTTATGTGCACTTAAGTCTTTTGTGTCTGTGAATTCTAACTCTGTTCCACCTTGGGTGGGTGGACACATGATGTATGTTAAGTGTGGCTGGAGGTGAGAACAGAGAAGGGTTCCCGCAATGCTTCAAAGCCCCATGATGTTCTGAGTTTGATCGAAAAGCAGTAGAATTGGAGAAGAAAAGAGTGCCCAACAATGTGAAGGCCAGATTTCTGTGGGTCAGATGTGTAATAAAAGGAGAAAGAAGTCAAGGTAACCCTGAGTTTTCACATCTGGGCCTCTGTGAAGACAGTGACACCTTGGAAGAGGGTACCTAAGAAGACTGGGAACCCCCCAAAAAGGAACATGAGCCATCAGGGTGAAGGAGGTGATGCAATATTGGCTCAAGAGCCGGGACAGCGTGGGTTTAACTGCCAGCTCAGCCCCGTCCAAGCTGTATGATCTGGGAGGAATGCCTCAGCTTCCTTTTTAGTAAAACGGTGGTAACAGCGTGTTCTGGGTTGCTGTGGCGCTTGGCTGAGCTCATATACAAAAGCCACAGTCATGTATGCTGTCATGACAGGGTCACAGTCTCATCACCGTGAGAACACAGGACAGGTGGCCTGGACACTGCCAGGTGGTGCCATCTTAGGGTGCCGAGGTGGGGTATACAGTTGATTATGTATCACATGACTGTACTTGTCGACCTCATTGTAAATGCCACAAATACTATTAAGTATAACAATAATACTAATAATAAACCCAGATAGGACCCTAAGTACCCACTGTATGTGTTTTACAGTATTCACATTCAGTAAAATGCCAGGATCTTTTCCCATTTATTCTCTTTATTTGCAAAAAGGTGAAATGTTTACACATCTCTTATTCAGCTCAGTTTTCTTCCTAATGTTGAAGCCCTGGTCCAGTCAAAACTGGAGAAATTTAACTTCACCCTGTGGCTCTGAGTTGCAGATTTTACTCATCGACCTGCTGGTCTCTCTTTGGGGACAGCTGGAACAGGCCTTTGTCACCTCTCTCTAATTTGCCTTCATTGCCACTGTCCTTGTTTGAACCCGACTTGGAACTTCCTGGAACCTGCAAACCTTTTTCTTATTTCTGTTCAAGAATTGCAAATATAGCTACCAATTTGTGAGTCCTTCCCATCTGACTCAAGTGCCCCAAACCACCCATAAGGCACGCAGTACTATCTTAGCATTTGCACAAAAGCAATGAAAAAGCCGTTGGACCTTATCTTTGGTGTTGTGGGTCTTGAGGACTGAAGATATAGCTGTTCAGGGTGGACGGGCGGGGAGCACAATGGGCAGAATTTGACGGAGCAGCTCAGACCGTGCTTGGCATGTGTGTGTCTTGTGGCAGAGGGCCTCTGGGTGTGAGTCTCCTGGCAGCTTCCTGATAATGCACATGGGGAGGCAACAGGTGATGGCTCAAGGAGTTTTATTTCTGGGAGACATGAACTCTGAGAATGGAGTTATCAATTCTTGGCTTTGGTCTGGCCAAGCCCTAGTTGTTACAAATTTGGTACGATAGCCTAGTGGTTAAATCCTCACCTTACATCCATTGGGACCCCATCTGGGTGCTGGATCATGTCCCAGCTGCTCCATTTCCCATCCAGCTCCCTGCTGATGGCCTGGGAAAGCAGTCGAGGATGGCCCAAGGCCTTGGGACCCTGTACCCACATGGGAGACCCGGAGAAGCTCCTGGCTCTTGATTTCAGATTGACTCAGCCAGCCGTTGCAGCCACTTGGGGAGTGACAGCTGATGAACAGTATTTCTCATCTTTCTCTCTGTATCTCCTTCTTTCTGTATATCTGCCTTTCCAATAAGAAATAAATCTTGAAAAGAAAAAAAAAATGGGGTAGGTGGAATAAACCAGTCTCTCTCTGTCTCCATCTTTCAAATAAATACTTATGTAAGTCAGTACATAAATAACCTTTTTATTTTTCTTGCTAGCCTGGACCCTGGACATAGACTCATGCTGAGTCCCCTGCTGTTCAGGCCTCTTTCCTTCCCCTGAAGCACTATACAGGACTCATTATTCCTGCCCAGACTACTGTACTTTTTAATTCTCTTTACCAATGGGTTGACGTATTACTTCCTACAAGAGAAGGAAATGGGCTGTTATTCCCAGCCACTTGTGCGCATTGAGAATACTGTGAAGAGGCATGCTGCTTCACTGAGCAGGGAGAGCAGCCAGTGTCCAGAACCAAGCTCCCTTCAGGAGTCCCAGGTTCAGCCCAAGGGTTTGTGATGCATCTTCAGTTCCAAACTTGGTGACATGCTTGCTTATGAGATTCCAACCTAGTTCAAGGGCAGACTCCCTGTCCTGATCACAAAGACACAAAGAGAGGGGCCGGGGGGCAGTGACAAAGGAGTGAAAGAAAGGAGAAATGAGAAGCAAATGTGGGGTTAGCACTGTGGCTCAACAGGATAATCCTCCACCTTCAAGTACCGGCTTCCCATATGGGAGCTGGTTCTTGACCTGACTGATCCACTTCTGATCCAGCTCTCTGCATCTGGCCTGTGAAAGCAGTAGAGGTTGGCCCATGTCCTTGGCTCCCTGCACCTGCCGAGAAGACCCAGAGGAAACTTCTGGCTCCAGGGTTCAGCTCAGCTCAGCTCCAGCCATTGCAGCCATTAGGGAAGTTAACCAGCAAATGGGAGATCTTTCTCTGTCTCTCCTCTCTCTGTAAATCAGCCTTTCTAATAAAAATAAATCCTGGAAAAAGGGGTCAGGGACACACCCGTCTCTTTTTCTGATAAGTGAAAATCCAAAGTCCCTGTGAGATGAAGAACTTGGAAATGAAGCCACAGTGCGTCTGGAGGAACTAGATCTGGTGTGATTCACTCTGTACCAGGCACTCTCTGAGTTACAGTAATGCCTGTGAGAAACCACCCATGCCAAAAAACAGTAAGATGAGACCAAGGTTGAGCAGATACTACCGTACGACAGCCAATCAAGGGAGACTTTCTGGTGGAGGTCACATTTCTCAGGACAGACCTGGATTGAGTGGGTACTTGCTAGGAGACGCAGCAGGGATCTTCAAGCAGCCAGAATAACATGAGCAAAGGCCCTGGGCCCACAGGAGCGGGAGGACCCATGCTGCTCAGCATGTCTGGCAAGGACATAAAGTGAATTCAGTGTGATGAGGATCCATTTGGCGTGTTCTTGGAAGAATTTTGCATCGAGAGCAGTGGAGAACAGTGTAGTGGTGTGTCTAACACTGAAGTTGGTAAAGTGAAATGAGACCAGTCACATACAAGCTGAAGTTGCTGGAGCCAGTGGAGGGTCCATAGGCTGCTCTAGAAATTTCTACCTGTGCTTTTTTTTTTTTTTTAACTTTTCTGCAAAAGAATGCTTAGTCCACTGAGCAGATATGGGGGGCAGGTAGAGACCCAAGCAATTAAGTGATATATTCTGGTTGACACTTGCTTTTTCTTTTCCCTCATTTCTTTTTTATTATTAATTTATTTTGCATGATACAGTTCCATAGGCTCAGCGATTTCCCCTCCTCCCTCCTCCTTCCCCCTCCCTGCCACTGATACCCCCGTAGTATTATAATGGTACAGTCCTTCAGTAACAGTCACAAGTCCATCATTCTGCTGTTGAAGTGTCATGACATTGTAGGTGTGGATAATGGTAGAGAGTCCAGCATCCTGTTGTGATTGACACTTTGAAAAAGAGCTTGTCACTGTCATGTGCAGAGAGACTGGACGTGTCCCGGCATGTGTGCAGCAGGAGCCCACAACCGAAGCCGTGTGCCTCATCTGCCTAGCACACTTGGTGGAACAGGGTCACTTGGGGGCACGGAGCCCCGTGGTTTAAAGGGTGCAGTGGAGGAAGTGAGGAGGAGGAAATGGTGGGCTAGCCATCATGAGAACTGAGAGATCTGGCCCACCTTCGCCGTCTCTTCGAGCCTCATGCTCCTTACCCACTCAGTTCTGTAGTAGTGCCAGCCCGTCCTCATGGTGGAGTCAAGAGAAGATTCTGCAGTGCACGAAGAATTGCGCAGACCCAAGGGGTTGTTATCTTGCATGTGTTCCTGTTGCAATCACCATCGATGCTACAAATAATCACATTTACCACCAACCATATTTTTTAGATTTCATGTAGCATGATGGCTAGACTGAACACAGAGGTAGTGAATTCAGTACGGCAGCAGTGAGGAACATTGTCCTGTCACAGGCTGAAAAGTATGCCCAGGCATAATTTAAGGGTTGCCGCTGAATTGAAAAAACTCCACAATCCCAAGGAAAGCCATCGGCATCCTTGGGACACACACACACACACACACACACACACACACATCTCCATCTCCAGAGGCAGGGGATGTCATAGAGTGTCCTGCGGAATGTTCCTCCCTTACACAGAGTTCATAGTATGTTTCGGCCACTCCCCCCAGAAACACGTAAAACCAAACTAGAGCCCCAGAAAGGAGAATTATTTCTGAATACAAGGGATTTTCAGCAAGTTTATGGGAAAGGCATGAGTTTTCTAAATATTTCACCAAAATAAACTCATCTTTGAATTCCGTTTTCTGTAAGTTTTTTTTTTTTTATTTTTATGTGGAAAGCAGGTTTACAGAGGGAGGAGTGACAGAGAGAGCTAACCGCTGGCTCACTCCACAGCTGGCGGCAATGGCAAGAGTGAAGCCAGCAGTCTCCCACATGGGTGCAGGGGCCCAAGGACTTGGACCATTCTCCACCCCCTTTCCCAGTCCATGAGCAGGGAGCTGGATGCCAGCACTTCAAGCAGTGGTTTTGCCTACTGAACAATGCACTAGCTGAGGTTCACCTGTATAGGTTGGAGTGATGAGTGCCTAGGTTTCCGGATCATGCCTACTGCTCTGCTCTTTAAACCCGCTCTACTAAGGCCACCGTACTTGCTTTCTCTGCGAGTGGTGATCTGCCTGGAGAGATTTTTAAAATCCTGATACCCTGGTTGCATCCAAGACCGATTTCAAAATTAGCAGAAATGGGACCCGATCCTCAGAACTTTTTAAAAACATCCCCAGAGATTCCAATTGGCAGTCCAGGTTGAGGACCAGCTGCTATTTGGAAGAATATCTATGACGCTGGGCAGAAGCAAAATATACAACTGAAATTCCTAATACTGCCCTCTCTTCTCCACTTGCAGGTGTTCCGGCATGGCGATCGAAGTCCCATCGAAACCTTCCCTAATGACCCCATCAAGGAAACTTCATGGCCACAAGGATTTGGCCAACTCACTCAGGTTGGCTGAATGTCCACCTAAAAATTGTGGATGAGTCTTGGGGAAAATGTGCATGGAGCTCTCCACCGGGATTTTGTTTTCACCTTGTTGCCCTTGAATATGTGTAAGATGTGCATGGGTAACAGAAGAAGAGAGATGATGTTAAAAATGTCGAAAAGAACCAATAAGTGAACTTAGCAGCCAGCCTCTGAGTTTCTTGGGTTGGAGCAGGAGTCAGAAGATAGCTTTGTTCTTGGAAGTCTGAACCAACAGGGTTGGGAAAGTGTGACTCTGGAAGACACGGTAGCAGAATTTTATTCATTAGCTGACTGTGCTATGATTGAGCCTTCCTCATAAGGGTCAAACACAGGGATCGCTGCTTTCAAAAATGTACCTAAGGAGAAGGCACACTGGGCCCAATGGCATTTGTCGTTTGTTCTGGGATGCTGCTCCCTCTCACCAGGAAGAATGGCTGTCTCTTCACTTTGGAGCCCCAGCCCCAGCTGCATTGTTCCTGACCAGACCAAAGTGCTGTTTACATACTTTAACAAAATGTCACAGAGTAATTCCAAAACTGAGAGCTCTCCACCTCTGCCAAACATTGCAATTACCTGGAGAGGCTGAAAAAGCATTTCTGTCTCCTGGGAGCTTCGCATGTGATAGGTCTAGAACATGGCCTAAGCACTGGTGTTTTTAGAAGCTCCTTAACTGACTGCCTTGCTCAGATGCTTCTCTGAACTGCTGTGTCCCGTGGGGGAGCTATTTCAGAAAGGCTATTTGAATCCTGTGGCTCTGGGTTCTAAGTCAGAACCCTTCCTGCCCACCTTCTGGCGCTTAGAATGAGAGAAGATTCACAAAATTTCAGGTTCCTTCCTTTTTTTTTAAGATTGATTTTTATTGAAAAGGCCAATTTACAGAGAGGACAGATAGAAAGATCTCCCACATAACCACAATGGCTGGACCTGAGCCAATCTGAAGCCAGGAGTCGGGAGCTTCTTCCAGGTCTTCACATGGGCACAGGGTCTGAAGGCTTTGGGCCGTCCTCCGCTGCTTTCTCGGCTCATAAGCAGGGAGCTGGATGAGAAATGGAGCAGCTGAGACACAAACCAACCCCCATATGAGATGCAAGCTCTTGAAGGGGTAGGATTAGCCAGTTGAGCCATCATGGCAGCTCTGAGGGTCAGCATGACCAATGTGCTTTCAGTTGATTCTGTTCACACTGGTACATGACTGAGCCACTCAAACACTCAAGAGCACCAGGGCCTGTGTTTGTTGGGTCAGACATTTCAAACAAGCATGAAGAGGTGAGAGCCTTTCAGAGAAGTGGCTCTCAGCTTACGATCAGTTCCTGGAAAAAAGGCATCCCCATCAGCTGTGTTCTCCTCAGAAATTAAAAATCTCTGACCTCGCCCTATGGTCAGTGGACCAGAAACTTGTGAAGTAGAGCCTGCATATGTGTATCTTAATGAGTGTTGTGGTGACTTGGTGCCTACAATAGACTGAAAACCACAATTCTAAATAGAAATGCCCATTTCCTCAAACGTCAGCTGTAAATTAGAACACAGAGCCAACACACCTGCCTCTGCAACTCCCCAGGGCATGGCACACTTTCCCACCATCTTGCTTATCTTAGAGGGGATGTGATGATAGTGGTGACCAAGGCTGCCAAGCATCCAGCAAGTGGGCTCAAGACACACTCTCAGGGACTGCTTCCTTTCCAGTTCTTGAAGTTATCATGAGGCTCTGGATGAGAGACCAGCCAGAATATAATGTATCTCAAATCATGAACCTGGCTGCCCTAGGGAGAAGGGTTACTTTCTCAAATGCAGCTTCTACAGCTCCATCCAGGAGCCAATGAGCGAGTCTTGGGGAGGGATGCTGGGGAACCTACGTTTCAGCAAGCACCTCTAGATAATTTTGTTTCTGATGCTTGAGGACAACTGAGCCAATGGCATGTCTCTGACTCACAGAAGCTTACAGACAACAGGTTCCTGAGAGCCACTCCTTAAGGTCCTGGCTGAGCGCATCTCAGGTGATGCCCATACATTTGATTTCTAACATCCTCTCAAGTGTGGCCAACACCACCAATCCACAGACCACACTTGGAATCCCAGGGCCTATCATTTTAGAGACCAGGCATCGTCCAGCTGTGCAGACAATAAACCATTTACTCCCAGATGTTGAAAGGCACCTCCAGATTCATCAAGCCCAAGCTCATCAGATGGTTGGATTTCTGCCGTAAAACCCACACCAGGTGGTCAACCAGCTCTTCTCAATGCTCTGCACACAGGATACAGAAATGAACCATTTCCTTGAAGGAAAGCAGCCACCCAGTGTCAGCTAAGTGCCTTCGATGCACAAGGCTCAATGCTAAGTGATAATGATGAAGATGGACAAAGTTTTCTCAGAGTGATGACTAAAAGTAGCCTTCTTGTTTCCATTTGGATATGTGTTGCTACTACAGAACTGTTAAAGCATTACTGTTCACTCTACACATTTAACAAGACGATGATTGTCAGTGATGCTAGGATTCATAGAAGGGACTTGCACTAGTTTTTGCTTCTGTCTTTCCTACAGCGTGGCATGCAGCAGCATTATGAACTTGGAGGATATATTAGGAGAAGATACAGGAAGTTCTTGAACGAGTCCTACAGGCATGAACAGGCAAGTTGGGAAATCTTGACCTTGAAGAAACTAAAACAGTCCCGCAGATGACTTATTGTCTGTGGGACTTACACAAGTCAGAGATCTCATTTGCAAATGTCCCTCTCTTTATGCAACTATACTGTTCTTAAAATGTATGAATATGAGCAAATTCAGACATCTGGGTAATGACTTTGGTAAGTAGCCTCCTCTTGCTGGTTTCATTTGTCAATCCAATCATTGTCTGTGAGGTTACTTTGTACCATGGTGTGCCCATACTATTATTCATGTCATAACTGATGTTATTATAATGATATTACTGCAGTATGTGCTAATATTTAATGTGGGTGTCTGTTTTCTCCTCTAGTACCCTGTCCATTCCACGGGCAAACGGAAGTCCTTACCATTGGCTTCTGCTTTGGTTTTCACACTCCAGGTTTATGTTCGAAGCACGGATGTTGACCGGACTCTGATGAGTGCTATGACAAACCTTGCAGCCCTGTTTCCCCCGGAAGGTTCCAGCGTTTGGAATCCCCACCTACCCTGGCAGCCCATCCCAGTGCACACCGTCTCCCTGTCTGAAGATCGGGTCAGTACACTGGGAGAACTGAGGGCCCACCTAGACCAGGAAGGGCAGACAGGCTGCTCAGCACATGCCATTTGGGAGTCCAAGGTCCCTTGCACTGCGCTATCTTCACTCTTTCCTTTCATAAAGGCACGAAGGACAAAGTAAGATAAAGAGAGGTCCAGGCAATAGCAGGTAGGAACTGGGTCTTCCTTTGGATCTCTGTCACCCACTTGGCTGACTACTGACAAAACCCAGCAATGTGGACCCAGTAGCTGCTTCACCCTCAATCCTGAAAGACAGTCACCAGTTAGTAAAGAGAGCAGAGGAGCTGTTAACAGAGGATGAATCAGGGAGAGTGAGAGAGAGGGAAAGAGGAGCTAGCAAGATTACCTGCCTGTGACCTCTTGCTACCTACAAAGGTAGAAAAATTCCTCTTGCATCTCAATGATGAAAACTACCCATCAGTCAGTGCAAGTTTACCTGCAGATCTGAGTTGGGTGCCCTGTGAGGCCATGTTCCCTTCCTCCCCATAGTCAGATGAGAGGAGAGGCGCATTGTGAGATGTGGGGAGCACCATATGAGGGTGGACCGTGACTTCGGAGGCAAGCTGCATGTGCCAGAGGTATTCAGAAAGCATGACTCGCCTGGGCAGGGAGCTGCCAAGAAGAATGGGAGTGTGAACCCAGGCCCCAGAGGAGGGGGAGGGGAGAAGACAGGCTGCAGCAGTGGGCAGCGTGGGATACCCTGTGTCCAGAGTTCAGAGAAGCTCTCTGGCCACACATTAGAGAAATCTCACAGCCAGAGGAAGTCTGCCTTCTAACTCCTGGCCGTGGCTTCTAGGAGGTCCCACAGCCTCCACAATGCACCCCTGGGTGACACTCTGAGTCCTCTCCTACCATCGAGTCTCTACTTAACCTCAACCCAGACAGCACCAAGGGCACTTTTGCTCTCTGCCCCTTGCACACACAGCCTGGAGCAGCCCTGCTCTTCCAGCCACACTGCCCAGGCAGGACATGAACTTTTCTTTCCTTCAAGGAAGCCAACATCTTCTAGACTTACTCATCTGCTTCCTTAGTATCCATTCTCCATAAACTAGACACTCCCTGAGAGCCTGGATGCTGCCTATCTTGTTCACTGCTGTCTTGTTAACATCTAGGGGAGGGGAGGTCAGACTACAGGTATACACAGCTGCATTCTTACTGCTAGAAATGAAAAAAGTAGGTTGAGGCAAGAGAAGTTATTCGCCTGGGAAACCAGGAAGTGAATAGCATGGCCCTGTTGAGGCAAGTTCAAGAAAGAAAACCATGAAGTATTTCACTTCTGAATACATAGTCTTCTGTTTTAAGACCTGCAAACCATTTGTCTCTCCACAATCCCTTCTTCCCCAATGTCAGGATTTCCATTCACCTCAAAACACATCTAAGACTTTTGTTAAAGGCCACTTTGGACGTCCCAGAGGCCTAACGCGTTACCACAGCTTCTTTAGCAAAGCGCTGCTGACTAATACAGCTTGTGCGGTTTGTCTGTCGTCCTCAGTTGCTGTACCTGCCTTTCAAGAACTGCCCTCGCTTTCAAGAACTTCAGAGCGAGACTTTGAAGTCAGAGGAATTCCAGAAGAGGCTGAAGCCTTACAAGGTGGGAAAGTCATATTCTTTGGTGATGGAAAGGACGTGAGGGCGGGGCCTGAGGTGTTGAGGCTTTCAGTCCTAGTAAGGTGTGGGATGAATGCATCTGCTGCCGACCGGTGTTAGCGAGGCACTAAACCTTTAACAAGAGAAGACACCATCATCTCATCCCACACGGGGAGACAAGGCAATCTTTTTCAAACATTGTACCCGTGTCCCTGGCGGGAGCCAAGAATGCATGATTGGGTGAGAATACATTCAGGTCTTCAGTCACCTGCCATACGGAGGCTGAGAGCTAGGACGATAGCCTCTGCCTGTGACAATGCTTTGTGTTTCTTTCTTTCTTGGTGAAATAGCCCTTTTCAAGACTGTGCCAACGGTAAATGAAATGTTTGTGCTACGACAAATAATCTTTTGAAGCAGTAATACATTCCTGCCGTCTATTGGGAAATATCAAAAGGGGCATAGTGGGAAGTCTCCATGACCCCACACGTCACCCCCTGGCATGTTTTTCCTGTACGGTCTTCCGGTTTCTTTATGTCTGTACAAGCTCTCGTTTTAAAAGAACGTTCTGTTTATTTGGGAGGAAGAGGGGCAAACAGCTGTAGAATTCTTATCCATTGATTCACTTCCCAGATGTCCGCAACAGTCAGAGATGATTCAGGAGCCAGAAATTCATCCCAGGTCTCCCACGTGGGCGGCAAGAACCCAGCTACTCGGACCATTGCTTGCCAACTCCCAGGGTGTACTTTAGCAGCAAGTCGGAATGTGGAGCAGATGTAGGACTCGAACTCTTGGACTTGTAATGCAGGCATTCCCAGTGACATCTGGGTTGTGATCCATAACAACCACCTCGAGCCCCTTTCTAGACATTGAACTGTTCACTGACATCTTACTTTTGCACTGCTTTGCAAATGACATTGAACTAGTTTTATTTCCTGAGCAGTCTTTGGTAGTATTGAAGTTACACTAAATTCATTCAAATGTTTTGTATACTCTTAAGACAGTATTACAATAATTGATTCTTTAAAGGCTTGCTAGGATTCCTCCATGAAGTCACCTGGCCCCTGGCAGGTGGGGAGAGCATGGAAAGCACTTTCAACATTTCTTTCTATGTATTTTATGGGAATCTTGTTGGAGTTCCTACGGACAAACAATAGTTTCCTAAACATATAGCATGCATAGATCAACAACATCTTCCAAACAGAGCTGCCACTTGCAGCCATCAGAGGCAATTGAGCAACCCTACCATAACAAGCCAGCATCTCTCTGTCATTTCACGTAGCGTGTGCCATGTTCTCTGGGTTGGCAATACCATGACCGATGTGATGGAGGCACTCTTCTGTGAGGTCACAGGTTCTCAGCAGGGAGCACGGGGCTAAGGCTGGGCCATCGCAGCTGGGGGCGGTGGGAGAGCTGCTGACACCTGCCGGGGAGAGGCCAGAATACCTCTAAACTTCCTGCAACGCACAGGGCTGCCCCGCAGCAAAGAATTACCCCAAATGTCAAGAGTGTCAACCTGCGATGTCCTGGAGAAGGAAAAAAAAAAAACGTTTTTTTTTTGTCTTACAGAATTTTATAGACGAGTTGCCAACACTGTCAGGATTCCACGGCCATGAACTTTTTGGAATATGGAGTAGAGTCTACGACCCCTTGTTCTGTGAGGTAAGTGGGGAGGAAAATCAGAAGTTGAATGATTTATGCCTTTTTTAAACAGATGGGTGCGTTCCCTTTGGGTTTTTACTGACACTTCCCTTGGCACTGAAGCATAATTGAAAACTTCCCTGAAAAGCTCGGAAATCCTGACTTCTCTCTCCACCATGCGCATTAATAATAAAATAAAATAAAAGCATGCAAGGCAGCTTTTATTCCCTGGAGTGCCGCTCGCTTGCTTTGCAGTCACCCAGGGAAGCACAACTCCTGTTCTGCATCTTAACGGAAAAGCCAGTGCTATTACACAGAACGTGTCCGATCTCTAGATGCAGAAGTAAGCAGTCCAGCTGTGGGCAAGCTCTTGGCGTTGCCTGCATGATCCGCCCAAGGATTCTTGGTCCCTGGATGAATCACTACTGTGCTTGTGCTTCATTCAAGACCAAGGAGCTTCTCTCTGTCGCTGTTTTTCTGAGCATGACATTGCTCTGAGGCAAAATTCTGGCCCCACACCTTCTGATTCTGAGATCATCTGGATGTGTAGGGCCAGCAAATGCCTTCAAGAGCAGCTGGCAGCGTGTCCTCTGTGGGAGAGGTACGTGTCCAAACTGCATGACCTTCTCAGTATCTTCCATTTACCGTCAGCCTCTGCTTCCGGAAAGACTCATTAGCCTGCTTAGGACCACTCAGCGGTGTGGCCCACCAGTAGATCCCCCGCTGTTGTTTTTCCCCCTGCAGTTTGTCTGAGCTAAAGTGGCGCCCTTTCAAGCCTCCCTTATTTCGTCGCTGTGGTCTCTCTCTCCCTGTCCCTGTCCTCTCTCCAACTCCCTCCCTCTATAGCAGATAATAAATATTGGCAGAGGTCTCCAACTGCCCCATTAGTAGTTTATTCAACCATTCGATGAATGTCTGCTAAGCACCTACTGTGTGCATGGTGCAGACATGTCCAGCAGTCAGCAAGCTGGAAGGTGATGGGGTGGCTGTCTATCATTAAATGCTCCAGAAATACCCTGCCTGACCTAACTGGCCTCCAGGCAGCTCACTCAGCTTTTGAACAAACGTGCTCTTGAGAGAGATCTTCCATCCATTGATTCATCCCCCAAGTGGCTGCAACAGCCAGGGCTGGGCAGGCTGAAGCCAGGAACCTGGAACTCCATTCAGGTGGCAGGGCCCTAGTGCTTGCCACATTTTCTGCTGCTTTACCAGGTGCGTCGGCAGGAAGCCGGGTCACAAGTGGAGCACTGACGGTTTGAATCAGCACTCTGATATGAAATGCTGGTTATTTCATAACCCACTGTGCCACACAACAGCAGCTGAGAAAACGAGTCCTGGTCCTGCCCACTTTTAACTTCTCTGCAGTCTCAGAGAGAGCATTCCAAACCTTCCCTGAAGGAAGGAGGTCCATCCTGGCACTACTGTGCCCTTCCTCTGCAAATCATATCTCCCACTGGCCTGGAATTTAGCCAAAACTTACAGTCTTGGTGGGAAGGGGCAAGTGCATGTCCATAATTTTTTTTCTTCTGGAAATCAATACGAAAGCTTATTACAATATACAGTTTTCTTTTTTAAAATTTTTATGTATCTTTTTTTAGTTGAGAGATGATCCAACTACCAGTTCATTTCCCCAAATGTCCACAACAACAAGGAGTGGACAGGCCAAAGCCATCAACTGGGATTCTTCCCGCATCTCCCCTATGGGTGACAGGGACCCAAGTACTTGAATCCTCACTGCTGCCTTCCTGCATTAACAGGAAGCTGGAATGAGAAGCTGGGGCAGGACTGTAACCCAGGGGACCTGACGTGGTGTGAGGCTGTCCCCCACAGCATCCTAACCTTGGCACCAAATGCTCACGCCACAACACAGAGTTTTCTCAGAAAGAAGCAACAGGACAAGAAAGGCTAATGCTAGCAGCATTTACGGGGTAAAAGAGGATTCTCAAAGTCAACAAACATGACAGTCTTAAAAAATCCACCTGTTTTTCCCTCATTGCTACAGAGTGTTCACAATTTCACTTTACCCCCCTGGGCCACGCAAGAAGCCATGACCAAGTTGAGAGAATTGTCAGAGCTGTCCCTGCTGTCGCTCTACGGAATTCACAAGCAGAAGGAGAAGTCCAGGCTCCAAGGGGGTAAGTACAAGAAGATGAGAGGAACTTACTGAACTCGGGGTCGGTTGGCCTGGGTCGGAGTCCCGGTCCTGTCACTCGTCAGCCAGTGACCTTCGGACTGGCCACTCCATGACTCTGCAACAGCAGCGGGGAAGGTGACACCTACTCAGCAGACAGAGGAGTCCCAATGCCTGTGTGTATCCACTAGCCCCAAGCCAACAGTGCCTGGAACATAATGCAAGGACAAGCAGCAGTTTGCCACAGCAGCCTCCCTTGACCCGCTCTGAGTCTTAGTCTTCCAATCTGGAAAACCGAACACTGCAGAGCAGTGCTAAGTGAGCTCTCTAGCCTTTCTAGATTCAAACAGTTCTAGTGTTTGTGTCCAAGGCCTGATGAAAAGCAACAATGCCTAGTGGCCTTTAGGATGAATATTTCAAATAGAAGATTTAAACAACAAAAATGGCGAGTTTTCCAGAAACCCTAGGCAGGGGCCACTGTTCAAGGTGAGAAAATATAAATGAATAATAGATGTTATGAATGATGCGGCTTGAATTTTTCCTGTTGGTGTTGAAAAGGGGCCTAGATTGATTTCTCAGTGGGATGTCTTTACTGGAAGTGGCACTTATGTAGCATGGGACACTGTGCGATGGGGAAGGTAAATCCAGGCATGAGAGTGCCAGGTGCTTAGAGTCAGGAGAGATGACAGGAAATAGGGGGACCAACGCTGGGGCCTGGGAGGGCAGTTGGGGAGTGTGGGCCAAGACCCTGAATACAGTGTCAGCTCAGTACTGGTTCATAAAGACAGTAAAACTGATTATAGCAAGCAGGGGAAGGTCCACCACGGTGGGTTGGCAGAATGAAGAGAGTCCCAAACACAGGAGATATCCCAGGAGGGTACATAGTATCTAGACATACTGAATGACTGTCAGAAGTTCAGACTTTCCCATAGGCAGCTCACCCTAAGATCAGGACAAACCCACCAGAATCCCAGGAGAATGCAGACAGGCAAAACATTCTTGGGCCTGGACCAGTTTTGTGTCTATCTTTTACATGTTTTTCTTTTTTGTGAGGCAAAAAGCCCAGTATGTTCACCCAGGGCTACCTCCCTAGACAAAAAGTTCTAAATCATAAACCAGAAGAGAATTCCGTTCTAACTGAAGGACAGGGCTGTGCATCAGACATAAAGGCGAGGCAGGCTGCGACCAAGACACCTGCTAACGGGGTTATGAAACCAGGATACTGAGCCGCAAGTTCATGTGAGATGAACAAAGGTGGCTGAGGCTCGCAGGAAGGATGGTGGCCATTTGTGCACCTGCTGTGCAGGAGTGCTGCTTGCATAGCCCAGAGCAGCCTTAACTGAAATGCACAAATCCCTACTCCATGTGACGGTGTGAACAGCAAGACCCAGAATGCATCCCGGAGTAATTTTCAAACCCAGTGTGTTCTGGAAATAACCGAATGAGACGCAGACCGGTGCATAGCAGGTCCCAGGGGAGGAGGCCTTAGGAGCGTCAGTGCACAGCATGCAATGGGTATTGTGTCAACTGTGCAAGCAGCAAGCCTCGTTCTCGCCCACCAGGCCAGCATCTTACCTCACTCCCAGGCCCCATCAGATGATGAATGGGGGCACTCTTGATTTGCTTTGCTCAGCCTTCTTATGGTGGGTTCAGGATTCCAGCCACTAACTGATCAAAACACACCCAACAGCTCAGCAATATTAGTATCGCCTAGCAACGGACTGGAAATATACACGAAAACAATCTTGGAGCAGGAGTGTAGCTTGATGGATGAAGATGGCAGTTGGGAGTCCAGCGTTCATTTCAGAATGCCTGGGTTAAAAGCTTGGTTCCGACTCCTGACCCCAGCTTCTTGCTAATGGGCACTCTGTGAAGCAGTGGTGATGGCTCCGACGAGTGCTCCTGACATGTTCTAAGATCTGGGTTGAGTTCCCATCTCCTGCCTTTAGCTTGGGCTCACCCCCAGCACATGAAAGAGACCCCTCTTTCTCAATATCTCCCTCTCAAATAGATTAATAATAATAGAATTAATAGTAATAAAAGAAATCTCAGGCCCCACCAGTTGGATCAGCATTTGCATTTTATAATTTTATAATTTCAACATGCTCCACAGCAGACAGTGCTTGGCCTTAGTCTAATATTAGATGCAGGCATGTTTATGTATGAAGAAGAAACATGGTTTATTCTAGAAGTTTGCTCTTACATCCCCCACCCCATAACTGCTACATGACTTCACACGTGGACTAGGCCTCCGCTTCCCCAGTCGATGAAGGTAGTGAGCTAGACTCTGGCCCTCCCTGAGCCTCTCCAGGCAAGCACTCCTGTGACCTTACCTTCCTGCTTCTTGAAGGACACGGAATTGCTTCTCATGTGATTCTGCCAAAACACAAGCTCAGGCCATTGTTCATGTCTGGCTGGACAAGCGAGCTTTGTGGACCACGTGCTTGTTCCAATGCCAAAACACCTGCACGGATCCTGCCTGGAGACAGGCTTTGCCCAGGGGACCATGGCTAGCCCCTTCCGACCTGTGGCAGATCTTTTGTTCCATCTGTTAGTTTAAAAAATGGAACCGTTCAGGAAAATAAACACACAGTCAGAAATACCCCTGAGGTTAATGCAGAGGTAAAGAGCTGGCCAGCTCAGGGCAGGAAAACTTCATCTGCCTCTAGACCAGGACGTGGCCAACTACTGTCTGTGGGCTCAGTCCAGCCCAGGGTCTGATTTTGTAAAGTTTTATCAAAACAGCCATGTTCATTGATGTAGATGCATCTGTGGCTGCTTCCACGCTGTCAGAGCATTACCCCTCTGGCCTTTCACAGAGAAAATCTGCCAACCTTCGCTAGAGTCCAGGCATGAAGAAATGAGGAAATGAGGCTTATGTCTCACAACCACGGTGACGTAACATGAGTGGGACGCCGCCTGAAGGATGGAGCGAGAGCCTGGCCACTTCCTGCCACTGCGTGGTCTAACGAATCTGAGCAGAGGCTTGGAGCTGGGTAGGCCTGGTCCAGAACCCAGGCCTTCTGCTTGCAAGTTGTGGCATCTTGGATTTGTGGCTGAGCCTTTCTGAGCCTCAATCTCCCAGCCTATAAAACAACATGTTGAAATCCCAGAGCGTGGCGTTAAACATCCACGTCTGGTCACTCCAGAACTAAGAATCATCACATTGATTGCAGCAGTACAGCTGCCCAAAGTGACTGCTCACAAAAGGCAGGTTGCTGGAGGCAGACCGCTGTCGTGGCCCGCTGTGCCCTACCCTGACCCCAAATCCGGCCACAAGGTTTCACTCCAGTGTGGCATAAAGACCAACTCAACTCCCTGCAAAGCTCCTGGGACAGAGACTGTTAGCGAGGCAGTGTCTAGCTGCTTCCATTCACAGTCAAGAAGACGCCTATTACCTAAAGGAAGAACGAACCACCTGTTTGTCTATTGTACTTGTTGTGTACAGGCCTATCTGTAGTCACTTCCTTATGAGCAGAGCAAGTTGGTGCCGTGACACTCTGAGCCAGGAGAGTGCACATGCAGAGTTAGGAGCCTGCTGCGGTGAAGGGCTCCAAGGCGCTTTGTCCTCAGAGCACTCTGACACCTCAAGACACCCCACACAGCCTCCAATGCTCGGAAGCAAAGAGGGGACTGTGTGCTGCTTTTGCATGAGCCTTTTGCACCTGGGGAGCTACACGTGAGAACTTGGGGTCTGAAAGGCAGAAGTTTTCCCCTATCAAAAACTGAGACCACAGGTGGCCGCTGCTGATGCCGGCTGCCCCCAAACTGAGACATCAGGCTAACCAGGTGACACGCCTGCAGAAGGCAGCCCGGAGCTGCTGCTTTTTCCCACGGCTGCACGGGTCTGACCGTCAGAAAATGGAAGCAAGAGTGCGGAGGGTACAGACACCTCCTGCCAAGTGCCATTCCCGGTCAAGTCTGGATGAGATCGCTGGCTAACCCTCGTCTTGTACGGTCCAAGTCGGCCAGGCTTCTAACTCAACCTGTAGCAAAAGCCACACCCTACGTGGTAGAGTATGGGTCAGGTGTGGGCACACAGCTCAGCTCTCCTTACCAGGCTGCGAGTCGCTGGATGCCTCTGGCCTTCAGCCTCCCTTACCTCCACATGCACATGGGAATCGGTACAAACTAACGTGTGTGCACCGTGCCACCCTACACTTAGTGGGCGCTCAACCAAAAGTTCAGGGCACGGAGCGTCCCTAGATTTATTTGCAAACTAAAATGGAAAGCTCTGTTGGGTTCAGCTTTTGTTGATGTGTCTCTTTGAAGGCGTCCTGCTCAGTGAAATCCTCAGTCACATGAAGAATGCCGCTCACTCACCAAGCTACAAAAAACTCGTCATGTATTCTGCAGTAAGTATGTGTCTTCAGTCCCCTGTGTAAGGTGTGCAGGCTCTAGAAAACAGAGCTCCTGTCCTTCCTCATTCCCTGCGACTTAAAACCGTGGCAGTGAGCGAGAACGACCGACAAAAGGCCTCACTGCACTGGCCACGTGGGGCAGCGGTGCCTGAAATGGAAGGCCCGGATATGAACGTTTGTACTGTTGTAGCCTGCTCTGACAGTCTCAGGCGGTCTGAGCTGGCGGCAGCTCTAAGCCTCCTGCTCGGTGTGCGCCCCGGGTGTGAGGGGAGCCGTGAAACCCAGGAGAACCCCTCCGCAGAGTCTGCCAGGGGTGTGGGGGGTGACGGGGTGGCAGCAACGTCTCCAGAACCTGCCCTCTTGTAGAAGCACTGGAATATGAAGACAGACTGTAGCACAGAAAGATTTTCTTTTTAAGATTTACTTGGTTTTTTATTGGAAAGGCAAATTTTACAAAGAGAAAAACAGAAAAATCTTTCATTCGCTGGTTTACTCCCCAAGAGGCCACCAAGACCGCAGCTAAGCTGACTCAGAGCCAGGAGCTTCCTCCAGGGTTCCCACACAGGTGCGGTGTCCTAAGGCTTTGGGCTAGGCTCGTAAGAGGTGCTGGATGGGAAGCAGGGCACCCAGGATACACACTAATACCTATATGAGACTCTTGCGCATGCAAGGTGAGGATTTAGCTACTAAGCCATTGCGCCAGACCCAAATTTATTTTATTTTTATTTGAAAGACAGAGCTACAAATAGAAACAGCGAGAGAATCTCCCCCAAATGGCCGACACAGCTGAAGCTGAGCCACTGAAAAGCCAGAGGCCAGGAGCCTCTTCCAGGTCTCGTGCGCCGTCCTCGACTGCTTTCCCAGGCCACAGGCAGGGAGCTGGATGGGAAGCGGGGCTGCCGGGATTAGAACCGGCGCCCATATGGGATCCCGGGCGTGCAAGGCGAGGACTTTAACCACTATGCTATTGCGCTGGGCCCAGTTTCTTTACTTTTTTTCTTATTTATGTGAAAGGCAGAGTGACAAAAAGGGAGAGGCCAACGGGGGATGGGCAGAGAAAGAGATCTTCCATTCAGTGGTTTGCACCTTAAATAACCCACAGCCTCTAGGGCTGGGAGGGCTGAAACCTGGAGCCATTAACTCCAAGTCACCCAGGAGGTTCTAGCTGGTCAGTCCATGACGTCTCATAGACACGTCAGCAAGAAGCTGGGTGGAGAGCAGGGTAGCCAGAATTCAAACTGGCACCATGCCATTCCAGGTGGCAGCTTAAGCCACTGTACTACAGTGCCTGCCCCCTTTGGCTTTTAAATGGAAATCATAATATGCATGAAATTTTGCAGATGCTCAACAAAACTCTATTCATGAACTGTTGAATGTTGAATGTCTGTTGCTTGGTATCTGTGGAATGAAAACCGATGTGTCATCTCCGCAGCACGATACTACCGTGAGCGGCCTACAGATGGCGCTGGAGGTCTACAACGGACGCCTTCCTCCCTACGCCGCCTGCCACTTCATGGAGCTGCTCCAGGAGAATGGGTAGGTGTGCCTGGGCCGCAAGTTCTGTAATTCCTCTGGTTCTGTGGGCTAAATACCGACGGGCTGTCTCTGGTTTCTTTTTCAACGGGAAAACGGTGGCAGCAGCATCTTAGCTAGCCGTGGTCTTGAGGATTCTTACTGGGGAACTATGGGATCCACAGGATACAGCTTGCAAAGTGCGTGGAAAAGTCGGCTGTCCTGGGAAGTATGCTGGCACTGTACTGTCGCCTTAGGAAGCACAGTCCAGTAGGAGACACCAAGAGAAAAATAAATTAGCTTGGTGGTTACAAAACAGGTTTTTTTAAAATTTTTTTTTAATTTTTTTTAAAGATTTATTTTTATTATTTTTTCATTGGAAAGGCAGATATACAGAGAGGAGAGACAGAGAGGAAGATCTTCCGTCCGATGATTCACTCCCCAAGTGAGCGCAACGGGCCGATACTATGCCGATCCGAAGCCAGGAGCCTCTTCCGGGTCTCCCACGCGGGTGCAGGTTCCCAAAGCTTTGGGCTGTCCTCGACTGCTTTCCCAGGCCACAGGCAGGCAGCTGGAAGGGAAGCGGGGCTGCCAGGATTAGAACCGGCGCCCATATGGGATCCCGGGCGTGCAAGGCGAGGACCTTTAGCCACTTGCGCCACCGCGCTGGGCCCCAAAACAGGTTTTAAATTAAGACATTTTAAACATATCTGGACAATTCTGTTAATTCATATCCAGTAGTGAAGATTCTTTAAAAAAAAATTTCTTTTATTTGAAAGGCAGAATTGGAAATGGAAGGGGGGGTTCCATCCTCTAGTTCACTCCCTCAAACGACCACAAGGGCCAGAGCTGAACTGATCAGAAGCTGGGACCAGGAACTTCTTCCGGGTCTCCACGTGGGTGCAGGGATGCAAGGACTTGAGCATTCCTCCGCTGCCTTCCCAGGCCACAAGCAGGGAGCTGGGCTGCAAGCGGAGCAGCTGAAGCATGAGCCAGCCCCCATGGAGGATGCCGGTGCCACGGGCAGAGACTGAGCTTGCTATGCCACGGTGCCAGCCCTGCTCCTGCTCCCTGTCATGCTCTGGGGTTGCCATCTTCAAAATCTAAATGCTTTTCCATCGAGGGGCCCACATTTCTTCTGCACATTCTGAAGTTCCGAATATTGTGGGCCCGGTGTGGGTAGATCAGGCATCCAAGGAGAGGGGGTGGTGCCCCACTAGGGAAGGGTGCAGATGAGTTCTCTTGAACCTGTTGGTGTGGCAGATGCAATGCAGGGGAGCTGAACACGGCCTCAGCTAACCAGACTTCAGCTAATCCAGGAAACAGAGACGAGACAACAAGCCCTGCACACAGGGCCCTTGGAGGGCCAGCTGTGGGTGCCCAGCAGGAGTCCCCAAGGCAAGAGAAGCTCTGCCTTCTCCACCCTCTCTGCCTCTGCCACCTGCTGGCCCCGACTGGGCAGCATCTTCGCCCACCAAAGCTTGTGCCTGAGCACCTTGCGCATCCCGAAAGGAACCAAACGCAGGGAACTGTTTTCTGACTGAGTGATGCTGACATGGAGGGAAACGGTTAACCAAGGGCTGTGCACGGTCGCTGTTCCACTAGGGATTTCTAACTGCTCGTCAGACAAAGACCAAAGGTCAAAGCTTATTGCTTTCACGTTAAGAACAAGAAGGAAGCAAGTTAATAAATACTGTAGATGCTTGCTTAATAGGTCACCCTGACTGTTAAGGTGACCTCACGCCTTCCCAATGAGAAGAAAGAGAGGGAAGAACTTTAGCCCCTCAGCTGTGAGGACTGTAGGTACAGAGGCTCCAGATAAAAGATTGTAGCTTTAGTTTGGTATAGACATTTAAAATCATGGCCTACATAAAATAATGCAGTAAAGTGAAAGGATGGCTTTCTTTTTCTATTTTTAGTGGAGAAAGCAAGCTGCTTATCAGCCATCTTAACCTCAAAGAACCATGTGCCATCCTTGCTCTTAGCAGGGTGGGGCTCATCCAGCCTGTGGCCCAGAGAGATCTTCCATCTGCCGGTCACTCCCCAAATGACCAAACTGGCTCCAGCAGGAACCAGGAACTTCTTCTAGGGCTCCTGTGTGGGTTCAGGGGCCCAAGTAGCTGGCACATCTCCAACTGGCAGGGTTGGTTTGAATCTGGACAGCCAAGTTGTGAACCGGCACCTGAACGGGATGCTGGCACAGCACTCCATTCATTGTTAAAACGATGTTTTATAAGACTTGGCTTATCAGGACCTGGGAGTGTAAGGGCTTTTTGAATAAACTCCTAAAGCTCAGAAAGCTAAAGCAGAAGCAGCATTTCATCAAGTGAGAGAGCTTCTGCACAGCGAAAGCAAGAAGCAACAGAAATGACTTAAAAACATTTGGAAGCTGTGTGTCTGACAAGAAATCAGTATTTGGAATATATGAGGAACTCGAATCACTTAATGACAAAACATCCAGTGAAAAATGAATAATGTGTATAAACAGATTGCCTCTGCAAGAAGGACGTATGAATGTGCAGCAAGCACACCAGGAGAAGTGGCCAACATGCTAATCAGGAAATATAGACAAAACACGTGAAACATCCCTCACTCCAGTCGAAATGTTAATATCAACAGACGAGAGCTAAGAGGTGCTAAACCCTTACATATTATTGTATAGCCATTACAGGGCATCCTTTTGGGATGTTGGTACCACAGTGAAAAGGGTTAGCCTGTTGAGCCACCATACTGGCCTCTCAAAATGATTTTTTTAACAGAGGCCAACATTGTGGCATAGCGTAACCCGCTACTGTCTTTGATGTTGGCATTCCGTATAAACACTGGTCTATTCATTCCCTCTTTTTTTTTAAAGATTTTTTTTTATTACAAAGTCAGATATACAGAGAGGAGGAGAGACAGAGAGAAAGATCTTCCATCCGATGATTCACTCCCCAAGTGAACGCAACAGCCGATGCTGTGCCGATCCGAAGCCAGGAGCCCAGATCCTCTTCTGGTATCCCACACGGGTGCAGGGTCCCAAGGCTTTGGGCCGTCCTTGACTGCTTACCCAGGCCACAAGCAGGGAGCTGGATGGGAAGTGGAGCTGCCGGGGTTAGAACCAGCACCCATATGGGATCCTGGCATGTTCAAGGCGAGGACTTAAGCCACTAGGCCACGCTGCCGGGCCTGAATAAATAAATCTTTAAAAAAAAAAAAACATTGAGGGGATTGAAATAAAGACTAAAAAAAGTTATATATTAAAAATATTTTAAATAAGATCCTAAAAAATTAAGAATTTATTTATGTTTAGCAGCATTCTATCCTACTTGATTTTTAATCTTGTCTTTTTATCAGCTAACATCCAGAAACCACTCATGTCAGATTCACTGAAGTTGGTTTAAGCCACTGGAGCTTTCCCAAACAGTGCTTTGCTTTTTGCCATAAAGTACTGCCCTGCCTCTGGCCTCCCGCTCTGATTACCTTCTTGGTAATCAGTCCCAGTCCCAGTCTTGGGCTACATTCTCATTCCCAAACTCACGGCGCTGTCTCCCCTGCCCGCCCCTCCCAGGGAGTACTTCGTGGAGATGTACTATCGGAATGAGACACAGCACGAGCCTCATCCTCTCACGCTGCCCGGCTGCACCCAGAGCTGTCCCCTGGAGAAATTCGCTGAGCTGGTTGCCCCTGTGCTCCCCCAAGACTGGTCCTCGGAGTGCATGCTCACCAACAGCCACCAAGGTACTAAGGATGTGACCCATTAGGGGCTGTCCCGGCAGCGTCTCTCACAGAGGGCGCTCTGACAATGCACTGTGCCCGTTACCTCCAGCTTGGAAGGAGATGGCATTGCATGATCATTGCATGTTTCAGGGATGCCCAACCTCGGGCAGCTACTAACTTGCCACCTGCCGTGCCCCACTTGCCATAGACCTCAACTCAGTTCGGGTTGCTGTGGTTCTTGCTGTTTGTTTGGTTTTGTTGTTTTTCAGTGTCAATGTAAAAGGACGTCAGTGCCAAAATGTAATCAGGAATTCGACTGAAGTCCAAGTTCATGGAACTTCTTGACATTTATTCACAAATTTGACTTGAGTAAGGTTAGATGAAGCTGTTCTTTCCATGTCCAAAGTTGGAACCTGTTACAAATAAAATCCACCGTCTAGGATGGGAGCAAGGAAGAGGAGAGCTTTCATAGCTGGCCATGGGGACGATGGGCCAACTCACCTGTCGACCCCAGCCTTCTCTCAAGGATGGGACGCCATGGCCACCTGTGGAGAATCTTTCTCTGCTGGGAACCTGGTACTGCCTGGTACTGTGTGTGCTTTAAAACACTGGCGTGTCGGGCAGCAGGGCTAAAACATAAACGCCTTTTTGTGTCCCTTGACCTGGCGCATTCCTGTTGCTTTCAAGAAAACTCAAAAAATTAAGCTTTTCTTTCCTTAAAAAGCCTTGATATATGTGATTTGTGCCGTAGCTCTTCAAGTCTAGACAGCAAGTAAGAGATGTGGTTAGAGCAAGCTGTTTGGGCTTGGCCCACTAGAGAGCGCTGTGTGTCGGAGTCTGCCTTCCGGTGCCTGGCAGGGGAGGCTGCACCTAAACCTGGCTCCAGGGAGGAACGACGGTGTTGCGCATTGAACTGGGACAATCTTAGAAATGTCGGATGTTTTCAGGGCTCATTGGAACACTGAGAGTGTGGCTGTGACTGACCAAGGAGAGCTCCAGAAAACACTAGCTCACAAAAGGGTATCGCTGAGCTGCTCACTGTACAGGTGCAATTCAATTCGAATGACACCCTGCTGAGCCCTGTAGGTGTTCCACGCGGCAGGTGCGCTGCACCTGAGAACACCAGGTTATCATCCCATAGACATGGGACAAGAGGACATGGTGGCTAGTGAGGGTGACCCTGGATCCCGGGATCTGGAGCAAAGCCATGGCCTCACATGACTGACAACTTGTCGCTGTATTTGTTTCTTTGTGTCATTTCTTTCCCAAGTGAATGTCCTGAGGGTCCTTATCCATGTGTGTAACTTTCTTCGGGGAATTTGTCAGCTGTCAAGTGAAGCGTCCAGGCGTGATTGGAGAAGTCCAAAACCAATGCTTCTGTAACAATGTACTTGGAAAACTGTGCAAGTGTACATGTGTCTGTGTGTAATTAGAGCAGAATTCCTGCAGGCGGATGTCAGGGTGCTCTTGTTTTCATTTTAACAAAAAAAGGAAGGATAAGAAGAAGATAAAGGAAAACTCTTGGACATTTTTGCGTGAAAATACAGTTTGGCCGTGACTACTTCTGACCAAGTAAAGGCCCGTGTGTGCGTGGCCCTCTCTCTTCTATCTAAGATGGAACTTATCCCTTCTTCCAGCTCCCCTAAAATCAACCATGCCCCTGGAAGCTCACAGGGAGCAACGAAGTAAAACAGACATGTTACATATTTGTGTCAGGTGCACACAGGGATTGCCGTAGGAACAGAAGTCGTGGAGATCAGGGAGGTTTTTCGGCAGGTGGTCACCTTGTGCCTTGGGTGATCAGCGCTGAATGGAGATGGTGAATGGGGGATGAGGTCCTAGAAGGGCATCTCCCGGATGTCCTACTAGCTTGAAGCTGAAATAGAGCAGCCATTCCTCAGACGATTAGGGTTCCGGACATTTTGGCACAGTTTCATTCAGAAGGGCGGGGGTCAGCTCTAAAAGGACGAAATAGCTTCCTGGGAGCAAAACATGTGTCTGTCATATTTTCTACACTCTGTGTCCTCCGTGCGCAGACATGCCTGTGTCACGCCTAGCTCGGTGCTCCATTAGTACAACTGCCTGATTCATGTGTAAATTAATTTACCAAAGCCCACTGAGCCCACCTCTCCTTAATTTCCCAATCAGCCACACTGCCCCTTGTCAAAGAATTCTTTGCCTCACAGTCCCAGAATGCGCAACTCAGTATGCGAGAAGAGGGCAGTTCCTGTAGTTGGCAAAATCTATGAGTATGAAGGATAGGTTAATGTGATGAGCTGCCGCCGTCTCACGTGACCAAGTGGGACGTGCACACCTCCACCTGGCAGGAGTCCTTCCGCCACAGAGATCAGCAAGTGCTACGAATCCGTTCTCTTCCGAATCCCTGTTCCAGCACACTGTCCCTTTCAGTTCACACAAAGTGTGTTGAGAGGGGAAGACACAAGGTAACCTCCAGCAAAGCTCAGTACTTGAACTTCTTCAAGGCCAAGAAAACAGACAGGAGCTGGTGCAGCTTGACTGCAGGCTTAGCCTCCCACTTAAGCCTTGGTTTGTGTCCCGGCTGCTCCACTTCCCATCCAGCTCCCTGCTTACGGCCTGGGAAAGCCAACAGAGAATGGCCTAAGTCTTTGAGACTCTCCACCCATAGGGGACACCTGCAAGAAGCTCCTTGCTTTGAGTCAGCTAAGCTCTGGCCATTGTGGCCATTTTGGGGAATGAACCAGCAGATGGAAGATCGTTCTCTGTCTCTACCTGTTTCTCTCTGTAATTCTTTCAAGTAAAATAAATAAATCTTTTTTAAAAAATAAAAAGAAATAAAGCAGACTGGATTTGATCAATGTGATCCTAAAGAGTGATACCAGAGGCAGTTGTAAATTTGTTTTTTAAGACTTTTTTTTTTAATGTGAAAGAGTTACCTTGAGCAGAGAGAGAGAGAGATCTTCAGTCTGCTGGCTCACTTGCCAGATGGCTGCAACAGCTGGAACTGAGCTCATCCAAAGCCAAGAGCTTTCTCCAGGTCCCTCAAATGGGTGCAGGTGCACCCAGAGCCTTGAGCCATCCTCTGTTGCTTTCCCAGGCCATAAGCAGGGAGCTGAATTGAAAGTGGAACAGCCAGGGCTTGAACCAACATCTTTATGGGATGCTGGCTCCACAGGCAGAAGCTTAGCCTCCTGTGCCAATGCAGTAAAATTTTCAGAAGACAGATGGCCTGCCAGTGGGTGTTGGGAACTTGCTGAGCCATGAAATGCCCCTTGGCTTGGTGACTCTCTGCCTTGGCAGAGAAACTATACAGCCGATGCCTTTGTGGGGGTTACCCAACCTGACAAACAAAAGGATGGAATGTCAGATCAACTTGATAAATAGTTCAAACTGCTGAATTTCTGTAACTTATTGGGGGAAAAACGTGGCATAGCAGATGTTTATAGGTATTCTGAGAGAGCCAACCCAATAAAAATAAAAATCTTTGATGAGAGGAAGTGTACTGTATACACAAGGGGCCTGGTAACCTTCCTTCTAGTGTATTTCCACCCATGAAATTCTACTGAAGGCTGGAAAAAGGTGTTTGGTTAGTCTAGGAAACCCAATAAACATCAGTGAAACCATCTTTGCTAGAAAATTCATGATACGTCTGAATTCCATACTATGCTACTTGAAAATAATAAAATTATTTTTTAAATGTTTCTTTAATTCCAAAATCTTACACGGTGTATCTTTCCTGATACTCCCCCACACAACCACAGTTATTCCCCAGAAGGGAAGTTGACTCGTATGAAGCTCCGGCTCCCCGCATCATCTTTGTAAAGCCGAGCATCTGTCACACGTAGCCAGGTGATCTAAGATTCAACTAGGAGCTTCTTGTAGGCAGGAGCCAGGCTCTGACCTCTTGGGATTTTTATCCCGGAGACACTGCCCAGAACCTGCTGCAATCCCTCATTACTTGCCGATTGACTAAATGGTCATCCCCTCTGTCCTCCCCCTTGCCCCCCGCCCACATTAAGCCTAAGTTCCTCATGGCTGTGCGCAGAGATCAGAAGCCATACCTGGAAGAGAAAAGCAACAGTGAGGCTCAGAACAGACTACACAATCAAGGGCAGCCACTAACTTTATATCTACACACGTGGAGCATGCCTGCTGTGTTCCCTGTCTTCAGGACACTAACCTGGACATTCTCTTCTTTCTCGTTACTGCGGAGAGCTCTGTTTAACAGCATCTCCTCCAGTATCCCTCCTCCCTCAGAGGTGAGGCCTTCTGCTTTGATTGTAAATCGTCATCCATGAACGACACTGGGGACTTTGGTATGGGCTGTGTCACTCCTTACTCTCATCCTTGCCCTCAGCCTGGACAGTTGTCATAGGATAGTCTGTCTCTTCTCACTGCACATGACATCCCAGCCCAGCTCCTGGGGACCTCAGTGGATCTCAGCATCATCGCTTTCTTCCTCTGCACCAGCTCAATATCCACCTGTTCTCCCATCCAAACACTCTGCCTGCCTCTTTCATCACACCCTCTTCAATGCTAATTTGACACAAATGATTTCTACTCCAGTTCTATTTCCTCATCTCCTTCTCACCCCCTAATGATCCTATAAACTATATCCACACTTCCCTCATTGCTTGCTCTGGTCTTTCCTTTTGAAGTGATCGATTTCCATTCCTTGTGAAGCACGTTGAAATGCTCCCATTTTACAAGGAAGAGAATCTACAGCTCAGGAAACAGCATGTCAACCCCAGGTTTCTCCAAAACCACATTTCATCCCTTTCCATCCCTCACTGACTTGTGGACTCTTCCAATAGGACAGTTATCCAAAGTAGAATTGGATGATTCCAAATTTATGCATATTAAATAAGCAATGAATATTTACAAGATGCCTATTGTATACTCAATGTGTGTCTCCCTAGCAGGCACCAAATCGCCTGAAGAAATAGCAGCCAATAAGAAGACTGTCTCCATGTGTCTTGGAGACGTTGGGGGCCAGGAAGGATGGAGAGAGAAACAATGAAAGCTCTATCAGGAAACCATGCAGAGAACTGCGTAACAGGAAGAGGCATTAGCCTGGCTGTATGGAATCAACACCTGAAAAGGCAAAAGTAACTAACCAGGCACATGGACAGGAGAATGTTGTATTAAAAAAAAAAAAGAGGTCATGCATGAAGGCCTGTGGCTTGGGGACAGCCTGAGAGTGTTCTAGAAACTAGGAGAAGCCTGGTTGGCAACTGGAGGGCTGAGCCCGGGGTCGGCATCGTTGACTCTTTCCTTGGCCAAGTTGGGTAGTTCTGGTCCTTGAAGGGATTTGGGCAGGCGACTGACACCGTGGCCAGCTCCTTGTCTTGATGGGGAGAGTGGAATGGGGAGGAATGCACCTGGGGTAGGGAAGACAGGAGGCTGTGGTAGAAATGCAAGGATTCCAGCAAGGGCAAGAGAAAGCAGACTTATTCAAAGGGTGAAAAGAAGTAGGGCAGCTTGGACTTGAGGGCAGTGACTAGAAAGAAAGGCTGTGGGTACCTCTCGTCAGCACAGCTCCGAAAAAAGTAGCAGCAATTCAGACTGCCTGTGTCTGCCTCTGTGTTCCTAGATAGTAAGGCATCTTTGCACTCATGGCCTGCAGTAAACCTCTCTACAGTAAAATATAATCAATCACTTCTCAGCTTCCAGGATGCTATTCTGCCAAACTCCCAGAATGTTTTTTACAGTACAAGGGCTATTACAAGTTAAAAAATAAGTGAGAAGGAGCACGCGTGCTCTGTCCTGTGTCTTGTCTCTGGCCCATCTTTGGCCAGTTTCTCTTGGATGGATTCCTTCTACCAAGCCCATGCGGCATCATTCCCAGAGCCACATCCTTGATTTCCTCCTTCCACACACCTGCCTCTAACTCTCCATCTGCAGGCTTGATGTGACTTGAAGTTCTGTGGCTGTTGTGTTGAAAAACACGTAGAAAGGCTAGAGCAAGCACCATGGTCAGGATGCTGGCTCACCGCAGGTTGGAGGCAGAGATGTCATTGGCTTCTGCACATATTTTTTGAGTCAAACCAACAGGAATCCCTCACAGATCGGGTGTGGGATGTGAAAGAAAACATGGAGTAAGAAAGGACTTCTGAACCAGCAAAAAAGGGGAGTTTTCATCCAGTGAGATGAGGAAGGCTGTGGGTAGAGCAGTGTGTGGGGGAGGAGGAAGCAGCCATTGGACTCCTGGTTTGGATTTGTTGAGGTGGAAAAGCTTACGAGAAGACCAGGAGAGTGCAATAATTCCCCCTTTTCTATGGAGGATACAGTGGCTGCCTGAAACTGGATGGTACTGAGCTACATGGACATACACACCCACACATTTTACATATATGAATACATGTATCTATAGATGTACATGTATGTGTGTATATATAGACACATATATAGATGTAAATATGTAGATACATACCAACGACGAAGTTTAACATAGATGGACACAGTAAGAGACTAACAGCAGTAACTAATAATGAAATAGAACCATTCATTGAATGGACTCTCCCCCACCCTTCCTCTCAAAATCCCATGGTGCTTTCACTTTTTCACATAAAGTAATCATTGTTATGACTTTTTTGTTGTTGTTTCACCCAAATTTCTAGCATCACTACTACTCTTGGGATATGGAGCTATTATTAAATAAAACAAGATTTCCTTGAACACAGACACACTAGTGCCAGAGCAGTGGATCTGATAACCCACATGGCTACCTGGGCAGGTAGCAAGGACAACGTAGATATGCTAAACGAAGAGATAATTAACATCCCAAGTACAGTGGGAATGAGATGATACAAGATTTCATCTTGCTCATCAGAGTAAGGAGCAATCTAAAATTCAGGAATTATTTCTGAAAATTTCCATTTAATACTGTCAGGCAACAGTTGAACTAACAGAAACTACAGGAGGAAGAAAATTTGGAAGCAGCGATCACACCCACTTTTCCCTAACCCTTGATCCATCCCACTCTGATCATCTATGTTAGCATCATCTAAAATTTTTTTAAAAAATGAAACTACAGATAAGACAGAATAACTATATGTCAAATATGTAGGTGGGCAGAAGAATTATACGCTTTGGAGAGCATTCGTAACTGGAGAGGCTATTTGGAGGCTATCAGTTAATAGTGTTTAAAATCCCCACATCCCAACTAAGCAAATCCACTGTAACTGCTTGCTCATCCTTAGCAGCACTGTCTTACTTCTTACCTTCTTGCTGTCCTGTCTCTACAGTAAGATTAAGCTAAAGCAGTGATGGCCACCTGTGTTCTGAGGAGCTCTAGGTTTCTAGAGAAAGACATGATGGGATCAAAGTTGTTTGCTCTTTCGTGAAGCCAAAAAGCAACCCTTTATTTTTACAATGAGGGGGCGGACATTTGGAGTTGGTATAAACTGGCATTTATGACGTGTTGTCTACAGGTTGTCTAGTACATGTGTGCTCAGAGTAGTTGTCCAAATGAAATAATGGGACAACACTTCATAAATGACACCCAAATAAGGATTCATCAACAATTTATCGAAAATACATACTATGACAAAACTGTACATTGATTTAAAAAAAATGTATCAAATAAATTTCTTTCATCTCCTTTTTTTTTTTCCTACAAACCTTTTGAAGTGTCCTTGCATCATTTGCAGATCTGGCCAAATATTAAGGATTTGTGTAAATAAATGCCTAGGCACTCAGGGATACCTATGCACTGAAACATACTTGCCCGAAAATCAAATTCAAACATGCAAAGATTCCATTTCTTTTATACCCAGTTGATTACAACCAAGCGTCCAGAGCTTCCTTTGACCTGAGACCACGGATCATGAATATTTTAACTACAGAGGAATGTAGAGGCTCTTACAAATCCTTCATTCAACGCCCTCCCTTTACAGTGGGGAGCTGAGGCACCAGGTTGAAAGTTCCGGAACTGGGATACAGATCTCCTCCTGACTCTTATGCTGTGTCCTTGGCTGATGTGAAGTCTCCTGCAGAAATGCCTCCTGTGTTTCCAACGAAGGCAGAAACCAACGCTCATAGACTCTCCATGATCTTCCTAACACATTCGTTTTTGCATTAATCATTTTCCTGTTTTCCCGCAGCCCTCAAGGTCATCCTGGCCATTGCCTTTTGCGTGGTGTCTAGTGTCTTAGTGGTGCTGCTGTTTATGCTCATCCGCCACGGGCCCTGCTGGCAGAGAGAATCCTATAGCAACATCTGAATGATGCCAAGAAAGAGCTGCCCGCCGTACCACCTCTTTCAGAGGGTACAACGTTCGAAAGACAGGCTTTGGCCACATGGGCATTGCTCTGCCCAGCCCCTTCCTTTTGGATCCTCTGAGAGTCTAAAGTCCCAGCCACGCATGGACAGTTGCTAGACTGACGAGCTACTTACGTCCTGTCGCCAAGTGATGATGCAGGCTGCACATTTGGCCAGAAAGAGGCTCTTCTGCAAAGCCCAGTTGTGTTCTCCGACACAGATATCCAGAGAGAAATAAGAAGACGAACTCCGACCATCCTTCTACCTGCAAAGAGCGAAGGGTGAGAAGATAGGACAAAGACATAGATTAGACAAGGCTAGACCAGATGCAGTGCTAATGCAAGATGATGGTTAAGAAACAGGACCCGGCCAGGAATGCTAAAGTTTTTCTTTGGCTGTAAAGTAGGTTTAATTCACACATGCTTATACACCCGCCTGAGAAGCAGTACCTACACAGACTCAGGCGTGTCTATGTGTGTCCAGCACTCACACATACATGTTTCTATGATTAAGATGCCTTCAAAGAGTTATTTAATTCTTAAAAATTGTAATTTCAGCAAGGTGTGGTACAGTTCAGGTCATCTTCCCCCAGTTTCTGTATTGAGCGATAACTGGAAATCCATGGCGCCATAATTCCTTCTTTTTTTTTATCTCCACTAGTAAAGGTGGATTTTTATATGATCCAGATTTTTTAAAAATATATTTATTTCACTTTTTTAAATTATGCCACCTATTCTGATAGGGGACATGCCTGACCATAATGAAGTAATAATGTATTTTAACTTCCAAAACCATCCCTGAGTTTTTTAAATGAGATAGATAGTGGGCTAATGACGCACTGCCTCAGCTCTGCACTGGCTCTTGTTCAACAGCCTGGAACAGTTCTTCATTCCAAAGCTCAGTGTCTTAACATGAAAAAGAGGAGTCCGGACTAGGTGAGCATGGATGTCACTTCTCATGTTGGGCCTCTGTTCACACTGGTCTCTAGTGAGCCCACCATCCAGGCCATGTTGTCTTTCAAAGATAAGCAGAGATCCTATGTGCGCTGTTCCCCAGTTGCTGCCTGGGTGAGACTTGAAGGCAGTTGGGGTCCATGCCCAGCAAATTTGCCATCCCGGACCCCACCCCACCTCTTAATCTCGGGAATCTTCCTCTGCTTTGAGTGTCACAGCTAACACCTGTTCAACTCCAAGTTCTTGCATCTATCACCTGTACTTTCTACAAAATTCTCCCTGAACACAGTAATTGCCAGCAAAAGCCACAAAGGATTTTCTGCACTGTGTCAATTTCTGTTTCCTTCCGTAGCACAAAGCCATGTAGGCAACAACAACAACCAAAAAAGCAAAGCAACCCCCTTCCCCACCGCCTGCAGGATGTAGTCATATTTCTGGCTTGGAAAAAAAAAAAACCCTCTACAGTTGACAGAAACAAAAGATGAAAAACTGTTTTGATAAAGCAGCCACAATATGTAATGCTAATAAATGATGTGACTCAAATAGTCATAAATTTTTCCATCTGTTCAGCAAACATTGATGGAGGATCTTCTATTAGCTAACCTCTGGCCCAGATGTTAAATTGTCTGTCCTTAATGTAATAATTAAGGTGGCTGACTCCAACGGTGGCCTTATAGAGGACTGGAAAAAATATAAAAGTGAAAGCTTTCCTAAACTTTTCTCAGTACCACTCCTTGATTCTGCCAGTGACATCAATGACCTTGACGTTTCCTTGATTCTCTGGGAAGGTTTTTAGCATTCCCATTTCCCTTCCTTCTACCAGCTTTCTGATTATTATAAAGAAATCCCCCACCTGTTTCTTCTACCTCTGTTGACAAACACTGGAATGTTTTTCATACTTCATGGCAGAATGAAGAATCGTAAACAACTAGTGATCTACAGGGATAAGACAGAAAGCACAAATGTTCTATCATGTTTCTCAGGGAATAAATTACCCAAATGTAGCAAGAAAGTATGTGCTTTCTCTCTATTAATAAAAGTGACTTTTTCATGTGGCTCACGTGCGATCACTTTGGTAACTGTGTTCGTAAATGTTGTTTGAAAGACAATTACCAGAGCTGCCTTCCCCTCTACTTTAAAGGAAAGTATTTCTTGTACTGGAACCACTATGGAGGCGTTGAGTGAGATTAAAATAAGACAATCATTACCATGTCAAAATGGGGATATTCCCTAACAGAAAAAAAAAATGCCAGCAGTATCTATGCAAAGAAGTACCAACTACGAGTTGCTGGTAGAATGCACCTTGCTTGAATGGCATTGTAGGAAGAAAGCATTAAAAAAAAGATGACCATGAAGAAGATTCTCCATTTATTCAACCAACAACTTCTTTATATTCAAGAATGGGTATTTCTTCTCGCATTGACCCAGTGCTGGTCCCCATCCTCCCAATTTCCTGTGCTTTCTGTGTTTCCTGTCCCTTTCTGTGTTGATTCATTCTGCAAAGCCAAGGAGGGCTGGGGATGTGTTAGCCAAGTGTGAAACCCCTTGAGCGAGGCTGGAAGAGTGTGACGTTTTGTTATTCTAGAACAGGACTGTCCAACAGAAACAGAACGTGAACTACAAACGGAAGCCATGAGACAAGGCTCTAGAGCATCCAGGGAAACACACGAGTACATTGAACTAACATAATCCTTTCTTTCCTTCCATTTTTCCATAAGCTTCTTGAAGTCCCCCACATGTGATTTTAAATTTGAAAGGGAAAGAGATGAAATTAATTGTAATAAAATGTATACAGCTTTATACATTTGAAATATTACTTCAACGTGTAATTGGAATGTAAAATTGTCAATGGAGCATTTCATGGGCTTTCTAATACTGAGACTTTAAAATGTGATTGGCATTTGATCCTGACGGTGTGTCCCAGTCACACGTTTCCAGTCTTGGCAGCCATGGCTAGCTAGGGGCCTCAATGTCCAACAGTTTTGCTTTTGACAAATAGGTAGAAACTTTTTTGAAACCGATAATGTACTTTTTTATATAATTTGTAAAATCCACTTTCAGATTGTTGTGAAGAAATAAAAATGTTTATTACTATTATGTGTCTGTATCTTGCTTTCTTTTAGTGTGTAGATGAACTGGGGAAAGAATTTTCTGGAATAGTTTATTTGTAAGCCATTTTAATAGAGGCAGTTTAGACCTTTTCCAAAACTATTCTAAACTAAGTATACTAATTCTTGTTATTAAATGTGTGAAGAGGGAATTTGATAGCACATTTAGGAAGTAAGCACTGCTAAACTGTGCTTGAGTAGAGAAAATAAGCGTTTGATAGTGGGTGTTTGATAGTAAAATGATAAATATAGAAGAATATAAAATCCAGGGGTAGGGCCTGTGACACAGAGAAGTAAGCTGCTATTTAAAACTACTTCCCATGTTGAAGTACCTGCTTCAAGTTCTGGCTACTTTGCACTTGTGATCTAGCTTCTTGCCGATGCTACTGACAGACACTGGACAACAGCCCAGGTGTTTGGGTTTCTGCCACCTACGTGGGAGACTTGGTTGGAGCTTCTGGCTCCTAGCGTTGACATGACCAAGCTTGGCCATGGCTGTCATCTGGGGAATGACCCGGGGATAGAATATTTCTGTTCTTCTGTCATTCTGCCTTTCAAATAAATAAATCTTTTTAAAAAATTATATATATACATACGCGTGTGTGTATGTAGCATTAATTTGCATGAGATATACTTACACCTTTAGTGATGGAATTGGCACATCTTCCACGGCTTTTACAGCCCACAGTATCCTCTCATATTCTTTCTTCGTTTTTGCAGTTGATTTGTCTAGAGGGAGCATGAGCAGTCGGCTTCCTGACTCTAACATGTCCAAACATCTGCATTCTACTCGCCTTTCCTTTGAAGGGCCATTCTGTCGTCTTCCTGCCTGCGAGGTGTCTGATGAGAAGCTTGACTTCTGACCCTTATTCCCATGCGGTTGTTTCGTTTTACCCAGCTCCTTTCAGATTCTCTGCTTCTACTCAGAGTTCCAACCTCTTGCCAGGAAATGTGGGCACGGGCACCTGTTTGCTTTCTTTTTTCTTCTGTTTAATTCTGCACAGTTTAATGTGAGTTTCGGGTTTCCTTTTTTTTTTGTAATCTGAAAGCACTTGTCTTCAAACAGTTTAGGGAGATTGTGACCTGAAACTTGAACTTCCAGCATTTATCATTCTGCCTCAAATTTCCTTCATGTCTTCTGCCTTTTTGTTTTATTTTTGTTTTATTTCCCTACCTGCTAATAAAGTTCACCAACTTGGTCTTCAGCAATTCATTATTCCTTTGATTTTTTTTCCCAAGAATTCTTTCCTAGTTACTTATTGTTCCTTTTTATATAACAGCATATTATTGTTTTATGAATGCAATCTCCTCCTGAATATACTTTATTAAAAATTATTTATTTATATTGGAAAGGCAGATGTATAGAGATCTTCCATCTGCTGATTTACTCCCCAAGTGACCACAACAGCTGGAGCTGCACTGACAGGAATCCAGCAGCCAGGAGCTTCTTCCAGGTCTCCCAGGTAAGTGCAGGGACCTTGGGCCATCCTCTACTGCTTTCCCAGGCCACAAGCAGGGAGCTGGAAGGGAAGTGGAACACCCAGAATATGGACCAGCACCCATATGGAATCCTGGCACATATAAGGCAAGGACTTTAGCCACTAGGCTACCACTCTGGGCCCTTTGAATATACTTTTGAAAAGATGTTTAAAAACCTTCTGTTATTCCCTTTCTGCAAGTATTAAATGCCTCCAAGTATACTAACCTAACAGTGCTACATTTGTCAAGAGTGAAAGCGTTAGTTTGAAGCAGCTACAGCAACATTGGCTGAAGAGGATGTTCACACTTCAATGGAAAGGGCCAAGCACAGGTTCTGGGCAGGGTGGGGGTGTGGCAGCAGGTGCTGAGTGGTGGCTAGGGCCAGGAGAGTGCTATGTCAGCTGGAGACACATCAGAAAGGTAAAGGACCTCAGTCATGCTGGGGCTGGGTGGTTCCGCCACATGTCCCCTTCAGGTGTGTGACGTTCTTTCAGCCCTACTGGCTTCTCCTGCAAGGTGCCACAGCCACACTCCCATGACCACACACACACACACACACTTCCCAGAGGGCGTGCTTCCAGGCTTTGTCATGCGGGCATGCGCAGAGTGGCCCTAAGGAGCGGAATGCAGGCTGTGAGCACCCTGACAAGGAACAGCATCTCTGGAGGGTTGGACTGAAATTCCTGTTTGGCTTCTTCCTCAGTGCCACCACCTCTGCTCCTCTGTGAACCTGTCTCAGGGCACCTGCCTCCTGCCACCCCTCTAGCACAGCTAGGATTCCATTCTTGCAGTTTACCTATTGTCTGCTAGTTCAGTAAACCCCTGGGCGGAAGGGGAATTAGGTGCAAAAGGCCTTTTTTTTTTTTTCTAAAAGAAACCCCTGGGTTAATTTTCTTCTAGCAAAGGGCTCTAAAATTATGTCTGTTGATGGTAAAGGAAATTAGCAGACACAGCATTACCTATACAATTTAACTTAATCTCACCAGCTGCAGCGATGGTGACCCCGTGGGTGAACCAGCAGATGGGAGACCTCTCTCACACTCTGGGTTTCTCCTCCTCTCATTTAAAAAAAAAAAAAAAGTCTGTCTTTCAAAAAAAAAAAAAAAGGCAGCAATTTTTCACTCACAGCCAAATGCTGCTATTCTGAATTTAATGAAGTTGAAAGAAACGCACGAGATGTCATTTTTCATTAGCTCCCTGCACACTCTTGGAAATGTGGCTGTAATCCAATCTTCTTAGACCACATCTTGAAATGACAACTCTTATTAAAATGATGGGCATTTCATTTGGTAGAGAAACAGGAGGACTTGACATCTTATTAAAACTGTTACTTTGATGGAAGGTTTCTTTCTAAGAACATAACCTCCTCTGTATAATCCAAAAGAAACAGCAATTTTATTTCAGTCTGCGGTCAACTGTAATAGGCTGCTTACAAAACAAAGATCATTAAAATATGAAGATAGATTCTATAGTGGAGTCCACTGAAGTTGGTAGCAATTCAACAAGAAATTAGACTTTGCAGGAACAAAAATAAACCAAATATTGATCTTATAAAAGTTTCTTTTCTTGTAAATTATAAAACAGAACAATTTCAAATAGTATATTAGTGTGGGTGGTGGCTATCTTTGCAACTTTCTTTCGTCGCTACTTATATCTCAACTTCCTTCTTATAATTACAGAAGTAAACCCCAATGAAGCTCCATTGGTGTCAATGAGGTTAACCCAGGGGACCTCCATGGGAAAGCAGCAAGTGACCAAGGTCCTTGGACCCCTGCCATGCACAAGGGAAACCCAAATGGTGTGTTTGGTTTTTGCTTCAGCTTGGGCTAGCCACAGCCATAATGGGCATTTGCGAGTGAACCAGCAGGTAGAAGATTCTCTCTCTCTTTCTCTATTCCCTTTAAGTAAATAAAATAAATGCATAAAAAATTGAGGCTGACATGGCAATGCCTTAGGAACTAAACGGACTGCAAATGAGCAGGTGTCTGTCATTAAATGGGTGATTTCAGACAAGGTGTGGCCATTTCTAGGAAATCCAAAAATAAAGCAGGTTGTCCTGAGTGGGAAACATAAATTCTGCACCCCCCCCAGAAGTCAGCCAAAAAAACATTAGGGGTTCTTTCTCAAAGCACATCCTGAGTACAGTGTGCTAGCCAATTCTTCAAGTACCCAAAATGCTTTGCTACCTCCTTTCTGCTTCCCACACTAACTCTCTTCCCGGCCTATTGAAGCAATACTCAGCCGAGGTCATCCACCTTGCACATAATTCTTTCACTTTGTCTTCTGAAAGATGGGGACTGAGATGAGATATAGGCATATCTATCCCTAATACAGTGAAATTCCAAAGCAAAAGATATATTAAGAAACCACCTAAGGGGCCTGGCGCGGTAGCCTAATGGCTGAAGTCCTTGCCTTGCACGAGCCCGGGATCTCATGCAGATGCCTATTTGAATCTCAGCATTCCCACTTTCCATCCAGCTCCCTGCCTGTGGTCTGGGAAAGCACTCAAGGGCGACCCAAAGCCATCTACTGGCTCACTCCCCAAATGGTCACAATGACTGGAATTGAGCCCATCGGAAGCCAGGAGCCAGAAGCTTCTTCTGAATCAACCTTGGGTGCAGGATCCCAAGGTTTGGGGCTGTTCTCGACTGCTTTCTTAGACCACAGGCAGGGAGCTGAATGGGAAGTGGAGCAGCCGGG